TCTAAAACTAGTTTCCTTAACCCCAGGCTTTTCAAGCTTCCCCCCCACCCCCCAATTCTATTCTCCCTCTGTGATAACTCTAGGTACAAAGCAGTTGCCCAAGCTGATGGATGCCCTTTGCTGACATCTGAACTCCTCTGTCTGGAGTCCTCTCTGAATCCAAATCCATAATGCTGGGCAAGGGAATTTCTAAATTTGGGGGCAGCTAGTGAGGACAGTGGAACTGAGAGTTTGTGGAGGACAAATGTATTTAGCCATCTGTTATCCTACTGTGCAGGTGCTTCAGGCCCCAAGGGGACAGAACTTTGGAGAATGCCCACGAGTCACTTGGTAAGGAGGCCTGCCCTGTCTGCTTCTGCACATGCCCCATCATTCCTGTTCACCACTGCCAGGCTCACCAGGGTTGGCTTGAACTGGCCCTATCTTCAGTGAGGGTTCATGGGACACAAAGAAGCCATCTGGAGAAGCCAGCAGTGGTGGGAGAGTAGTCCATTGGCCCTGGAACAGAACTCTCCTTGAATCTGGCTGAGGGGGAGGACAGGTGTGGGGAGAACGGTTGCTGAGAACGCAATGATGCCCTCTTGGGCAAGTTAGACAAGGATTCCTTGAACTTCTCAACTTCCAGTTTCTGCCTCTCTCACCAGAAGAAGCCTTGACTACCTTACATACACCCATTTCTCCAGATATCCTTTACTGATCATCAGCTGGCGCTGGCTCTTTGCTTGGGGTATACAGTAAAGGGGCTGGACGAGTCTTTTTTTAAAAATTTAAGATATATATATTTTAAATTTTATTTTAATCGCTGTTCAAGTAGTTTTCTGTCCTTTGCTCCCATCCCAGCCCATCCACCCTGGACAAGTCTTCAGCTATCTATCGTACGTGCTGTCATAAGCACGAAGAAGGGTGGGCTGTGAGGGCACCAGGTGCGGGCAGCCACTCTTGACCAATCAAACATTTATTTCACGGGACATGTGATTCCTCATTCAGCCTTAAGTTAAAACTTGCTATCTCTTTGCTCAACCTAGCCTGCTCATCTCTCAGGCTTGTCAGACCTGTCTTCCGTAATGACATGCTGTGCACCGCACACCCTGTCCCATAGGCCTCTGTGCTTCTGGTGTTTAACTCAGTGAGCCAGCCCTCCTCCGCCTGCTTTCCACAGTGCCCGCGGGCCAGTTCACCCTGTGAAGGTAGGTGCCCTTCTGGGGCCTCACTGAATCCAAATCTGGCTGAACATCAGGCTGCACCTGAGAAACTCTTACTTTTTGTTTCTTTTAACTTTTTAGGTATATTTTCAAATAGATGAAACAAGTAGAGAAAAGAGTATATTGAACCCCAGCTTCAACAATTATCGACTGATTGGCCAATCTTGTTTCATTTATACCATATACATACCGTTCTACAGAATATTTTAAAGGAAATCAGACATTTATTTTAGCCATATTTAAGTTTGTATTTCTAAAAGGTCCTAACAGGGACTTTGAGTTTGATCAAGGTAGAGAATCTGAATAGGCATTTTTCCAAAGATGTACAGATGGTCAACAGGTAAATGAAATGGTTCTCAACATTAGTAATCATCATGAAATGCAAAACAAAACCACAATATCACCTCACATATTAGATACCACCTCACACCTATTATTTTTTTTAGATTTATTTATTTATTTTTAAGAGAGGAGAAGGGAGGGAGAACAAGAGGGAGAAAAACATTGATTTGTGAGAGAAACATCCATCAGTTGCCTCTCACACGCCCCCAGTAGGGGACCTGGCCCGCAACCCAGGCATGCACCATGACTGGGAATTGAACTGGCAACCTTTTTTGGTTTGCAGGCTGGCACTCAATCCACTGAGCCACACCAACCAAGGCCTACTGTTAAACAAACAAACAACCAGATGAAATAACAAGTGTTGGCAAAGATGTGAAGAAAAGGGAACTCCTGTGCGCTGTTGGCAGAAAAGAAAATTGGTGCAGCCACTATGAAAATAGTATGGAAGTCCCTCAAAAAATTAAAAACAGAATTACCATATGGCTCAGCAATTCCACTTCTGAGTATATATAGTCGAAGAAAAGAAAACGCTAACTCAAAAACGTATGTGCACCCCCTTGTTAACTGCAGTGTTTTCTCCAATAGTCAAGATATGGGAATAGCCCATCTGCCTATCAATGAGTGAATGGATAAAGAAAATGCGGCATTTATATGATAGTGGAATACTATTCAGCCATAAAAAGAAGGAAATGTTGCCATTTGTGACGTGGATGAATCTTGAGGGCATTATGCTAAGTGATATTAGTCAGACAGAGAAAGAAAAATACCATGATATCATTTATATATGGACTCCACAATAAAAACAAAAATGACCTCATAGATACAGAGAACAGATTAGTGGTTGTCAGAGGGGAGGAAATGGGTGAAATGGGTGAGGGGGTTAAAAGGCACAAACTTCCACCCTGACCAGTATGGCTCAGTTGGTTGGGTGTCCTCCCGCAGAGTGAAAGGTCACCTATTTGATCCCCATCAGGGAACAAGCCTGGGTTTCGGGTCTGGTCCCCGGTCGGGGTGTGTTCGAGAGGCAACCGATCCATGTTTCTCTCCCACATCAATGTTTCTCTCCCTTTCTCTATCCCTTCCCCTTTCTCCAAAAGTAAATGAATAAAATCTGAAAAGGTACAAACTTCCATTCATAAAACAAGTCACGAGGACGTACTCTACAGCAAGGTGACTGTATTAATGGTATGTATTGTATAGCTGAAAGTTGCTAAGAGAGTACATCTTTAAAGTCTCACCATTGGGGAAAAATGTGGTAACTATGTATGGTGACAGACATTAATGACTCACTGTGGTGATCATTTTATAATATATACAAATATCAAATCATTCGGTGTTGTATACCTGAAATGTATATATCCATTATACCTAAATATAAGTACAGAAAACTCACTTCACTACCATGCTATTATGGCACCTCAAAAACTCAATACTTCCTTAATATCATAAATCACCTATCATGTTCAAAATTCCGACTCCTGATTTTTAGATAACTTATGTAGATAAATCCCCCCCGTCCTCACCATGGGTTGCTCTTCCTTGTAATCCTTTAAAATAATTTTTTATTTACTGTGTAATTCTGAGCAAGTTCTTTTTATCCCCCTGAGCCTGTTTCTTCACATAAAAAAATAGGGCTTCACTGTACATTTAGCACAATATTCTCCTTTGGCAAAGGTTTCCCTGGGCCCATTTCTGTTCTCTACAACCTGATCCTTTCCAGCGTGTAAGCACTTTTAAGTGTTTTGTGGAGTACTATATTTGACACTGAAGTAGTCATCATTTCAGGCGTAGCTTGTATAACATTGCAGAGCCTGGAGCCTAGGAGAGGGTGAGAGGATGCTATGTGCTTAATTTGCCAGTTTGGTAAAATACCGTACTCCTCTCTCCTCTTCCGCCATCACCAACAGATGAGGAAAAAGGCAGACTAGAAATGTACACCAAGCAATACTTCTGTATCAGTCCACCTTTTATTTTTTCACCAGGACTTCCCAAGGCTAATTTCACCAAGAGTGCTCAAGCTTTCCAAGTATTGATAAAGAAAACTCTCTACTGCCAGTCACATCAGCTTTCCCTTTTATGGGGGCTTAAAGAATGTTGTGGAGGCAGAAAATAAAATCTAAGTGTTACAAACTAAAAGTTGAAAGAGACTTTATCTTTGGTGTGCATTTTGGAATGTGAGTTTTCTCAATCCAATGAGTGCTGCCCCAGTGGTAACTGTTATTAGAACTCAGAAAAACATCATTTTTTTGTTGGAGATCATGACATAATATAAAACCAAAGTGTACTTTATTTTTCACGACTCGTGAAAGATTACAAAGAGTCATACTTAGCTGCTCTCCAGACCTGCAGGGAGGTGAGTGGGCAGCCCGCAGCATCCTACTTTGGAGTGTGCTCATCCCCGCAGCAGCACACAGGGAAAGATCACTGTTATGGCACCACATTCATGTCAGCTGGGCCAAAGGCTCTCTCACTGAAGACCCCAGTCCTGGAAGGCTTCTCTTCCTGCGAGCTGCCAGTTCAATCTTCTGAACCAGGCCCACATCCCAGGGGTGAGTAACAAAGCTGATGATGGTGCCTGGCAACTCACTCCCTACACGGCCCACCCTCCCGGCTCTGTGGATGTAGTCTTGCAGGGTGAGAGGGAAATCATAATTGACAACTAGCTCCACATGGGTACTGTCCAGGCCCCGAGAAGCTATATCTGTGCAGAGAAGTATGTCTCGGTAGCCCTTCTGGAAGCTCTGGAAGATACCTGCCCTCATTGAGGCTGGCATTTGTCCCTGCAGTCTTAGGTGTTGGATTTTGTGGTCATCCAGAATATAGCCTAGCCAGTTCACAGTGCTAGAGCTATTACAGAACACCAGAACAGTTCCTGAGGAGCAAGTCCTATCTGCTCTGTCATGCCGCTTGAGGATCTGCACCAACTCAGCTACCTTCTCTGCTCCCTTCAGCCTCATGAATGTCTGTCTGACATGTGGCATGATACAGTGGAGCTTGGAGCTGGTGATAGTGGTTAGAGACTCTGAGCTGGCGACTTTACTCAGCAGCTGGTCTACACCTTCGGGAAATGTGGCCCCTACTAGTACCAACTGAGCTTTAGGATTAAAGGGGTCTTTTAAGTCATCTGGGTCTTCTGCTACATGGCTCTTCCCTAAGATGTAGTCCACGAGTTCCAGGAAACTTTCATCCAATAGCGTGTCTGCCTCATCCAATACCAAGAAGGAGAGCTGCTCCAGGCTGATCAGTTGCCGTTTCAGAGTCTTCCACAGAGCTCCCGGAGTGGCCACTAGTACATCAGCTAGAGGCTGTTTGCACAGTTGCTGCGTGATCCTAGCCATGCCACGGCCTCCCCTTAACTCCTGCACCTGGAGTCCCAGGAAGTTGCCTAAGGGCTGGGCCACGATCCGCACCTGTTCGGCTAATTCTCGCGAAGGCACAAGGACCAGGCCTCGAGGAGCTGGGATACTGCGGGGGTCTGGTTTTGGCCGGGCCAAGAGCTGCTGAAGCAGAGGGAGTAGGTAGCTGAGAGTCTTGCCACTGCCTGTTTCCGCTGCGCAAAGGACGTGGCGGCCGCGAAGTAATGGGGGGATGGTACTCGACTGCACCGTGGTGGGTCGAACGACTTCGGGAGCAACCTCTTGTAGTGCGCGCAATACCCGTGGCTCCAGACCCAGATCCGAGAAGCTGCCCTCGGATAAGTTACGCAATGCTGGTGTCTCGCGTTGTGAGCGCTCGATGGAGAAGTGGTCCCAGCGGGAGCGCCTATTCTTCCAGCCCCGCGAAGCGAGTGGCGCGCTCTCCCAGCGAGGCAGCGTGAGGCGCGCCGGCTGGTTGAACTCTGGCCGTCGCGCTGAGATCAGCAGCGGGCCGGGTCGCACCAGCACCGGCCGCAGGGAGTTCCGCCGCCCACTCTGCAGCTGTTCCTGCCGCCGCTGTAGAGCCCGTGGGATGCGCACCACTGGTAAGGGCTCATCGGGACCGCTAACCGCCAGGTCCCGTCGAGGTGCCAGAAACAAACGAGGCGCAAGCAACGAAAGCCGAGACGACCATACTAGAGCCATATTTACCTCGCTGCTGGAGAGGCGCACGGTACTGACGTCACTGGTGCGCCAAGGCCTCGCAGACGGTGGCTGGAGTGGCTCAGTACCACACGCGGAATTGGCGAACCTTGAGAAGAAGGGAGGTTCTGTAGAATTCAGCACCGGCGAGGTCTGTAAGTCCGAACAGGGGTCGGCGACGTCCAGACTCGGGCCAGCCTTGAGGAAGGGTGCACAATGGAGGCAGGACTGGGGTCAGACGATAAGCGGCGACGGGGCCCTGGCCTTAGGGACCAGGAGGGTGGAGGGCTTCTGGCGATTGGGTGTCCGATCCCTGCTGTTCTCCTTTGTCGCGCTCACCACCCCGGTGATAGCTTTTTCAGTGCTGGTCTGCCACTGTAAACTCCGAGGGTGCGGCGATATTTTTACAGATGTGGTCCTCGCACAAGGTCTGGTGATAAGTGTTTAAGAGTATGAATGATTGACAGTGCCGGGGGGCCGAGACAAGGGCCAGGTGTGGTGGATCTAGGCTGAACCTCCCCTGCCCCCGACCCCCCGGACTCCCGACCCCTGCCCAGCTGGGATCCCAGACGACAAGCTGGTGGCCTTCAGCTCATTATGTCAGTGAAGGTCTTCAGACTTTATTTGCAGCGTACTTGTCTGTTCACACATTTTCTTTTATCACCTGAGGTTCACACTCCACTACATTGTCACCCCACCCACCTTCTCATCCTGAACTCACTTTTGCCTTCCGCCCGCCTCCACTGGTTTCCAAGTCAGATAGTAAGTTACTTGAATAGTAGTGAGGAGGGTACTGCTACTCTACGGAGTGATCAGGTACGTGGCTTGTCTCACACGGCCCATGTCAGGCAGAATATTTTACATGAATTGAGATGTTCAGGTTGCAAATAAACCTTATACTAGTCAAAATTCTTTCATAGAGCTGGAAAATGGGTGTCATCTTTTCTGTAGTTCCCAGTGCCTGGGGTGGGAGATAAGGTAAGTGTGGATTAATTATCTGGGAGGTTCTTAGTATCTGGAGAAAGTGTTTTGTTTTTATTTTTTAAAAAGATTTTATTAATTTATTTTTAGAGAGAGGAAAAGTGAAGGAGACAGAGAGGAAGAGAAACATCATTGTGTGAGAGAAAAACAGTTGCCTCTCACATGTTCACAACTGGGAACCTGGCCCACAACCCAGGCATGTGCCTAACTGGGAATCAAACTGGTGACCCTTTGGTTTGCAGGCCAGTAGTATGGCTCAATCCACTGAGCCACACCAGCCAGGCCTGGAGAAGGTGTTTTAGTTTCATCAAATACCATGAAAAAGATAAGTACTTCTAAAATTTCAAATACCATTTTGATACATGAGTAGACTTTTCTGGAGAGTTACCTGTTAAAGCAACAGAGAGAGCTTCAAGTAGTGACAGTAGTCATTAATTTTACCTCCGTCACCCCACTTCCCTCATTTGACACTGTCTGGAGACATTTTTAGTTGTCATAACTGGCATCCACACATCGTGCAAAGCTCAGGATGGTTCCTCACAAAAAAGAATTACCTGGCCCAGATGTCAAGTTTGCTGTTGAGAAACCCTGCCTACAGGATGGGGACTGAAGAGAGGCTGAGATTACCACGTGTACTTTTACTTCAGGAAGGCTTATTTGCCAAACTGTTGTTCTAGCCCCAGCCCAGTCCCAGAATCTGTAGCAGGCACACTGATGCCATGCTGGTAATGCCTTTGGGGGCCCCTAAAAATCATAAACATAGGAAGGAGTGATTCAAGAAGGTAAAGCTGCAGAAGAGAAGCTTTAGGGAGAACGAAACTGTCCTCATGTATTTGGGAAGTGTGCCAGATGGGAAAGAGATGAGGTATGCTGTGGGGTGTCCCCTTCCACAGGGCAAGACTGGGACTAGTGGGTGACAGGGAGGCAGATTCTGAATTCGATATAAAGAACTGCTGTAGCAACTGGAATTGCCCTGATCTGTCTTGAGAGCGCTGAGATTTCCATCACTGAAAAGTTCACACCCATGCTGGATGATCACTGATGGGTGACATATTAGAGGGTATTTGATATCAAGGATGTTCCAAGATAATGTGATTCTGTACAACTTTTATAATTCTAAGAACTCAGGGTTCCTAGTCTCTTAGCTAAATAGCTCATTGAATGTCTGATCCAATAAGTTTCGTTCATTTGTACCAAGCCAGAACAGATACATTGAAGAATTATTTAAAAAGAATAATACATAGATATGAATTTGCATTTGGGTTTTGTCCAAATATTTAGGGCAGAGTAGTTGGTTAGTGACTGGTTTCTCATCATTCCCGAGCCATTACAATGTGATTGCCTCAAAATCTCACAGAGATTGGAGCCTGTCTCTGCCCATAGTCCCTAATTTTTTCTTGTCAATTCATCAATTACTGCTTAAGTCCCTCTCCCTCAACTCACAGCAGACATTAAATAACTTCTAGTTGTTATTGAGATACATATTTTATAGCATAGTGCTTTAGAAATATGAAGGATTTATTTATTGTGGAAAAAAAAGGAAGCTTCTGGAAATAGGGGCCTAACTTGGTAGTATTTTTTCCCAGGGCTCTATGGTAATTTACGTTGCCTGTTTACTCCCTAAGTTTTAAAAACAGTTGTTCCTTGGATCTCAGGTGATAATGACATTCATTTCTTTCTTTCTTTATTTTTTAACCTTCACTCAGAGGACATGCTTATTGATTCTAGAAAGAGGGGAAGGGAGGGAGAGAAACATTGATTAGTTGCCCCTTGTACATGCCCTGACCGGGGACCAAACCCACAACCCAGGCATGTGCCTTGACTGGGAATCGAACTTTTGACCTTTCGGCTTATAGGCTAACACTCCAACCAAGTGTGCCACACTGGCCAGGGCAAGTTTGGGTGGGAGACTTTAAAAGAAGACCATGGTGACTTTAGCTGGTGAGGTTGAGTGGATTGAGTACCAGCCTGCGAACCAAAGGGTCACCAGTTTGATTCCCAGTCAGGGCACATGCATGGGTTGTGGGCCACATCCCCAGTAGGGGGCACACGAGAGTCAACCACACATTGATGTTTCTGTTCCTCTCTTTCTCCCTCCCTTCCCCTCTCTCTAAAAATAGAAAAAAAATTGTTTTAAGATTTTATTTAAAAAAGAAGAAGAAGACCAGATATGCCAGAGCAGAGAGTGAGGGGGAGAGGGACTCAAGGTGAGGCTGGAGAGGTGGGCGGGGACATGTCTTGCAGAGCCTTATGGGCCATGAGAGGGATTTGGAATTTATCCTAACCTCAGTGGGAAGCCGTTAAAGGGGATAAATAGAGAAGTGGTTATTGTGAACACAGTGGATAGGAGGAGGCAAGAGTAGAATTGGGGAAATCCAGTAGGAGACTGGCTTAGTGTGCAATGGTAGCAATGGAATGAAGCAAAGCAGGTAGACGGAAGTTATATTTTGAAGGTTATTTCAGCTGGAGTTAATGATGGATTGGCTGTGGGAAATGGGGGGCATTGCTTCTAGGATCCCCACAGATACCAAAATCCTTATCCCCATATAAAATTGGGTAGTTTTTATATACAGCCTATATTTGTATATAGGCTACAGCAGGGCATGCCTACATATCACTCACACCAATTCAGTGTAGTGCATGGCATGTGGCAAACTCAAGTTTTGTGTTGTGGAACTTTCTGGGATTTTTTTTTTCCTGCTTATTTTTGATCTGTGGTTGGTTGACTTCATGGATATGAAACCCACAGCACAGAGGACCAACTGTACTGAATTTACAACATACTGTCTAATTTACTTGTTTGTTATGCCTACTGGGTTTTTTTCCCCCACTGTGTTCCCTAACTAGATTGAAAGCTCTACCAGATCGGGAATTTTTGTCTGTCTTGTTCGTTAATGTATCCCCAAAGACTAAGATAGTGACTGGCACGGACTAGGCACTTAATAAATATTTATTGGTTGAATGAGTGAGCATGTGTTATTTTTATGATCAGAGAAAAGGAAAACAAAGTACTATTATGTTGGAAGGAAGGAGGAAAGCTTGCCCTGGATAATAGAAGAGATATTTCTCCATTTGAATTTCTGACTCTTGTGTTCCCTTTCTTCAGGCTGGAGCAGAGGAGGAATGATTGTGAACAGCCTCTCACTGTGCTATCACAACAAACTCATCTTAGCTCCTATGGTTCGGGTAGGGACTCTCCCAATGCGGCTGCTGGCCCTGGACTATGGAGCGGACATCGTGTACTGTGAGGTAAGGGGCTGTTGATTTCCCCAGAGAGCTGTCCAAGCGCAGTTTCCCTGTCCGGGGGTAGAAGTGGTCGGGGGGAGTGGGGGTGTGTGGCAGAATGGGCACTGACTTCACAGGTGCTCTCTGGAAGCATCAGGAGATGAAGACCCATGACATGTATGAGCTCCGTGAGCCCTGCTGAGGACCTGCAGCCCGGGCAGTGTGGAGGCAGTGCGGGGTACTTGGGTCAGGTGGATGGACGAGTGTCATGTCAGGTCCCTGTAGAATTTCGCACACACTCAGTACATGGATGCATGAGCTCAAGGCTATGAGGAGGAGGAAGAGGCCCAGATTCAGGTCAGGGAAGTCGGATAGATTTGGTTTTGGGGAGCCATAGGATTTTCTGGTGGTGGTAGCTAGTGGGCCAGTTCCTTGTTGGCTGCTTGGGAGAATATTAGGGCTTCAGACCCAGGTTTAGAAGGCATCTGCTAGGAAAAATAGAATTGCAGGAGTAGCTGGCCCTGGATAATGAGGGAGTATGAGCAGTGGTTCTCAACTGGGCATGTGTCAGAATGATCTAGGCAGCCTCTCCCCAACCCTGTTATGTCCCTTTAGTGGATATGAGACGTTTAAGAAGAAGCTGCCCAAGTGCTTCTGATAGTTCCACCTTTAAAAGCCACTGGGGGTAGGGTGGGATGGAGTGGGAACTGTGGCTAAAAAGGACAATATTTTATTTTTAAATTGAGTTTATTGGGGGTGACATTGGTTAATAAAATCATATAGTTTTCAAATGTACAGTTCTATGATACATTTTCTATATATTGCATTGTTATAACCTCCTAGAAACTTTATTTCTTTAACATGGCCTTTTCTCCTTTCTTTCCTTTTGATTTAAACTGGCCTCATCCATCATCCCGACTCAGTTCCCTTGCACAACTACTTCCTTAATCATTAAGCTCTTGGGACAGTGAGGTTCTGATAGAATATCAGATAATCTTGGGAACAAAGCCTGGGGCCTGTTGATTCCAGAGAGAGAGTTTAGGTCAAACTAGAGATGTCTAGGTCTCATTTGTGTTTCAGCTCCAGGCCATCTGTGACACCAGATGAAGTAACACCAGGGCTGACAACAGGACACTAGATGCAGTGATCAACCGCCCCCTGCCCTCTCAACGACCACTCAGTAGAGACTGTGACCCTGACTAATGCCCTTAGGCACCATGACTCATGATCTTCCCCTATAAAACCCATTCCCTGGAAGCCACTGAGGATCCAGGTCTTTAGCATTAGCTCACTTGTGTCTCTGGGCACCGGCCACTTCCTAAAAGTAAGCTCTTTCTTTGCTACAAACTCCTGTTTGTGTCTTACTGGGCTTTGGTGACCAACTAGGTCCTAGAGGATGACTTAGTGTCAAGGGTGAAGCCTCTGGCTTTTTTCTTGTTGCTCCAGCTCCATCTCTGTCCAGCTGTCCCCTCCCCATGATCACTTTGAGACAGAGTATACGGCATCCCTCTCTTCTCTATCCATGCTTTGCATGCTGTCGCCATTGGTTATCTGCTTACTCTAATGACTCTCTGTTCTCTCCCAAGTCTTGCACCTTCAGTGGAAGTAAGAGTTGGTCCTTGAGTGTTAGCCCTTTGTTTTTAGATTCAGTTATGCCCCCACCATCCTGCTGGATTCTTCTCTTGGACCAAGTGGTAGTAAGGGATTCAGGCCTTTAGAACCACCAGCTCACCTGGGCTCAAACCTATTCTAGGGAGAGATTCTGGGGATTGCTTAAATTGAGGAAAAGGCAGTGGTGCCTACATATCCAGCTCCCTTGGTTTTCACGTTTCCTGTGCAGGTAGCATTTTTCTGGGACCCTAGAAAGTGGGATTGATTCACTGGGAGGGGCGTGGAATGAAACACCAGGATGGAGTGACTGGCTGCACTGTAGCACAGGGCCGGCTCTAGACCCTGTCTGTGTGTGTGTGGCCCTGGGGAGTGGTCTCGGTGATGGGGTCATGGAAGCTGGGCTGTGGGAGCAGTGCTGCCACAGGAAAACAGGTGACCTCTCAGGTTCCAGAACTTCCATCAGCTACTTGGAATTTCTTAGGGTTGTTTTCAAGCACTTTGGAAGTCTTGGGCACAGGATTTATGTGATGGCTTCAGAACGTGGCCTTCCTTTCCTCCAGGGCCTTCCTAATTGGTCAGAGCTTGGCTCTTCTAATGAGTGTGATCAATCCTTTCCTCAAGGGCTGTGCAAAGTTAGGAGAAGAGCAAAGACTGATCAAAACTATTTGGTATGTTTAATGTGCTCATACTCTGGAAGAGTCAACATGGCTTCGGAACAAAGGGGCTTCTGGTGGAGGAGACCTAGGCCCCCCACACAGACGGAGCCCCTGTGCATAGCAGAAGCAAGAGACACAGGCAGGCGGCCCCTGTTTGGTGTAGTTCCTTGGCTGGGCCCTAAGTACTGGGCATGACACAATGTGGTGCCTGGTGCCCCCTGGTGGATTCAGAGTTCCTCTGCAGGCCAACGTTGTACAATATCAGCTGCCTGGATGATCTTAACTGGTTTCTCCTGAGGAGGCCTGATTGTGGGATTGGATGGCCAGACCCCCTCCCACACACACTTACCTCACAGGACCGGATATAGGGCAGAGGGTATACAAGGCATTCAGGCACCTCCTTCAAAGCCCTGTAAAGCCCTCTGCAGCTGGAGGCGGAGAAAGGATGAACCAACTCCGCAAATGTCTAGGGAGCTGTTATGGTCACTCCCCACCAAGATCTGCCCTATTGGCGGTTTTTCAGGAATTCCTCATGTATTGTGTTTCTGTTCCTTTTTATAAGAACAACGGGACTTCAGTGGCCCAGACTGGGAGGGGTCACTTAACTTTTCGATCCATACCTTTTAATAAGCAAGATCAAGGGAGAAGGCAGTGTTCTTAAGAGGCCCAGATACCAGCATAGGTACTTAAAATTTTTTACTTTTATTGTGGTGAGAAACATATAACACAATTTATCATGTTAACTATTTTTATTAAATTTTTTTTATCCTTACCTGAGGACATTTTTTTCATTGCTTTTAGAGAGAGAGGAAGGGAGAGCGAGGGAAACATCAATATGAGGCAGAAACATCGATCCAGGGATTGTATGTGCCAGGAAGGGGATTTAGCTGCCACCTTGGGTTGTGCTCTGTCTGGGGATTGAACCTGCAACCTTTTGGTTATGGGACGATGCTCCAACCAACTGAGCCACACCAGCCAGGGCCATCATGTTACCTACCTATTTTTAAGTATAGTGTTTAAGTTCAGTAGTGTTAACTACATTCACATTATTGTAAAACCGATCTCCAGAAACTCTGTACCCATTAAACAGCTCCGTGTTACCACCTCCCCGCAAGCCCTGGTAACCACCATTCTACTTCAGAAACCTCATACAAAGGGAAACATGCAATCTTTATCTTTTTGTGTCTGGGTATTTCACTTAGCATAATGTCCTCAACATTCATCCACGTTGTTGTTTGCAACAGGATTTCCTTCTATTTTTAGGCTCAATAATCTATTGTATGTATATAGTACATTTTGTTTATCCATCTGTTGATGGACATTTGGGTTGTTTCCGCCTCTTAGCTGTTGCGAATAGTGCTTCTGTGAATATTGGTGTGAATTCCACCACTTTGAGACCCCATTTTTAATTCTTTTGGATATATAGCCAGAAGTGTGATTGCTAGATCATATAGTATTTCTGTTTTTAAGTTTTTGAGGAACTCATACTGGTTTACACATCCTATCAGCAGTGCACAATTCTCCGCATCCTTGCTGAGACTCATTATTTTCTGTTTTTTTGTTTGTTTGTTTTTTGATAGTCATCCTAATGGGTTTGATTTGCTCATTGTGGGTTTGATTTGCATTTCTCTGATCATTAATGATGTTGACCATGTCTTCATATGCTTGTTGGCCATTGGTTTATCACCTTTGGAGAAATTTCTATTCAAGTCCTTTGCCTAGAGTGGGTAACTTTTTAAAAATTAAAAAATTAAAGTTTATAGAGTTTATAGGAAAGTTGCAGGAATAGATAAAGAACATTCATATACCCTTTACCCAGATTAACCTGTCAATATTTTCCTTGATTTGTTTTATAATTTGGACTCTCTCTCTCTCTCTCTCTCTATATATATATATATATATATATACTTTTTTGTTAACTATTTGAGAGTAAGTTCCACATGCTATGATGTCTTCTCAAATACTTCATTGATATTTTATAAGGTCATTCTTCTTCTTTTAAAAAAAATTTATTTATTTATTTATTTTTAGAGAGGGGAATGGAGGGAGAAATAGAGAGAAACATCAGTGTGTGGTTGCCTTTTGCATGCCACCTACTGGGGACCTGGCCTGCAACCCAGGCATGTGCTCTGACTGGGAATCGAACCAGCAACACTTTGGCTCACAGGCTGCCACTCAATCCACTGAGCAACACCAGCCAGGGCAGGTCTTCTTGTATATGGCTATTATACAGACATTATCTTCAGTGACTTTAACATTGATACAATATTTTTTCTAATCTACCTTCCATATTCCAGTTTTGTCAGTTGACCAGAAATATTCCTCTATACATTTATAAACATCTTTTTTTGAGATATGGTTCACATGTCATATAATTAACCAATTTGAAGTATACAATTCAGTAGCTTTTAGTATATTAACAGGGTTATGTATCCATCCCACAGTCACTTTTTTTAATTTTTAAAAATTTATTTATTGATTTCTAGAGAGAGAGAAACATCGATTTGTTGTTTCACTTATTTATGTATTCATTGGTTGATTCTGGTATGTGGCCTGACTGGGGATCAAACCCACAACCTCGATGTATCTGGATGAAGCTCCTACCAACTGAACTGCCGAACCAGGGCACGCAATCAATTTTGAACCCTTTCATCACACCAAAAAGAGACCTCATATTCATTAGCAATCGCTGCCCAGTTTCCCCCTCTCCAGTCCCTGGCAACTGTTAATCTACTTTCTGTCTTTATAGGTTTGCTTGTTTTGGACACTTGCTATAAATAGAATCATACAATAAGAGGCTTTTTATGTCTCATTTCTTTCACTTAGCATGTTTTCCAGGTTCATCCCTGTCAGAGCATGTATCAGCACTTCATCCTTTTAATGTCCATGGTTTGTGTGTGTACAACACAATTTGTTTATTCCTTCATCAGCTGGTAATCATTTAGATTGTTTCTGCCTTTTGGCTATTGTGAAACATGTTATATGAATATTCATGTGTAAGTTTTTGTGTGGACGTGTATTTTCACTTCTCTTGGATATACACCTAGGAGTGGAGTCGCTGGGTCCTATGGTGACTCCGTGTTTACCCACTTGAGAAACCAGCAGCCTTTTCCCTCAGCAGGTGCGCCATGTCCCATCCTCACCAGCAGTGTGTGAAGGTTCATTTTTTCACATCCTTGCCAACACTTGTTACTACTTGTCTTTTGGATTATAGTTGTCCTGGTGGGTGTGAAGTGGTATCTCATCATGATTTTGACTTGTATTTCCCTAACCATCAATGACGTGGAGCATCTTTTCTCATGTATATTGGCCATTTTTATATCATGTTTGAGAAATGTCTATTCAAGGCCTATGCTCATTTTTTAACTGGGTTCTTTGTCTTTCTATTCTGACAGTTGCAAGAATTTTGTATGTCTGGATACTAGACCTTTATCAGATGTATGATTTGCCAGTGTTTCCTCCCATTCTGTGGGTTGTCTTTTCACTTTATCGATAGTATCCTTTGATGCATTTTATTTGCATGCATGTATTATGTCCCTAGGAAAAGAATCCCAGGATTTTTCCTCATGTATTTTCATCTTCTTCTTGGCCCATGAGGCCTGCTGAGGTTGTCCGTACAATGAAATCAAACTGACGGGACAGGAGAGGGTCTCTGAGCTGCATAGCAAACCCAGGGCTGATCACTGCACACTTGTTCAACCTGCCCAGGAGGTTCACGACAGTTTTCCCAGCTCTGTGATCATCAGTAATTTCAAATTCGCCAGTGTAACCGCGCCCCATCATCACAGTGAGAAACTGGGTGATGACTTCGGAGCATGGCCTGATGAGAACCTAGCATTTGCCTCTCTTTTTGGCACTGTTGATACTCTTTAGAGTATCCGCCAGGACGTTCATGCACAGCAGTGTGGTGGCACGGGAGGACGGCGGGAAGAGCTCGTTGTACAAGTCTTCCGCTTCCTTGTTTCTGGCCTGTATGGTTTCCCATGAGAAATCTTACTGAGGATCCTTTGTACGTGGTAAATCACCACTTTCTTGCTGTTTTCACTGTTCTCTTTTTCTTTGACTTTTAGCAGTTCGGTTATGATGCGTCTATATGGCTCTCTTGGAGTTTCCTGCTTAAGGTTTGTTGAGCTTCTGGGATGCATGGAGTAATTTTTTAAAAATCAAAATTGGGGATTTTTTTTCCTTTTTGCCATTGTGTCTTCAAATGTGCTTTCTATACCTTTGAGACGCTCATTCATTTTGTCAATCTTTTTTGGGGGGGAATTTGTCCTTTTTTTTAGATTTGTTTTTTAATTTTTAGAGAGGGAAGGGAGGGAGAAAGAGAGACAGAGAAACATCAACGTGCGGTTGCTGGGGGCCGTGGCCTGCAACCCAGGCATGTGCCCTGACTGGGAATCGAACCTGCGATGCTTTGGTTCGCAGCCTGCACTCAATCCACTGAGCTACACCAGCCAGGTGTCAATCTTTTTTTTTTTAAGGGGGGAGTTTTAGTTGCTGGGTATGTTTGTTTTTCTGAAATTGGGATATACAAAAGACCCTTTAACCAAACCAGAGAGCAAAAGAGTACCTGGGTGTGCCAGCGGTGGGGGTAGAGAGGTGGCATGGAGGGACACTGGCGATAAACTAATGGGTTAGCTCAGACAGAGAAAGCACGCCAGCAGAATGAAGGAGATGAAGGTAGTGGGATATATTTCAGGTATCAGAACATAACTCATGACAGATAAGGAAGCCCATACGTGATAAGGCACTTTAAAAGTAAATGCTATTCAGAACATTGGGTAGCTACGTGAAGAAAAAGTGACTTATAAATGGCCTTAATTTTCAGATAAGTTAAAAAGCTAAATCACTTTCACCCTGGCTGGTGTGGCTTACTGGACTGAGCACCGGCCTGCAAACAAAAGGGTCGAGGATTCAATTCCCAGTCTAGGGCACATGCCTGGGTTGTAAGCCAAGTCCCCAGTAGGGGGCATGTGAGAGGCAACCATACATTGATGCTTTTCTCACTCTCTTTCTCCCTCCCTTGCACTCTGTCTAAAATAAATAAAATCTTAAAGAAAAGGTAAATCACTTTCAAAGAGAAGAGAAACAATCAATTAAAATTATATTCCTCATAATAGATATACTAAGAAACTAGAAGGCATTGTTTGTGGCAAAGTTGGGGTGGTCTCTTCAATAAAAATAAAATGTTAATTATGATAAAAATCAAGGAAGTGATGTTGATATAGGAAAAATATTTGTGATAATTGAGACAGAAAAACTCAATATCCAGCTTGGCCAAGAGTGGGCTTTCCCGCCCCTGCACGTTGTGTATAGATGTAAAAGGCGGTGTGCTGTGAAGACACATGGATGATAAACCCTACCATGTGGACAAGCAATGTTTATTTTCACTAATTGAGGAAATACAGTAGGAAAAAAACCTGTGTGTACCCATATACTGAATACAATTGGTAAACAATAGTGTTGAGGGTGTGTGGGTGGGCAGGAACATTTGTGGTTTTTATTGGTGACAGTTTAAATTAATTTCTCCGTTTTAACAAACAGTTGGACATCTGTGTGTGAGGTGCTGAAGCAGGCTGCAGCAGACGTTTAGTGAGCACTTGCAACGTGACAGATGCTAGTGGTTCAAAGGTGACTCAGATCGTGTCCAGGCCCCAGAGGCTCTGCTGGCGTAGTGAGGCGTCGGAGAGGAAAACAGGGTGTTTCAAGGGCCATTTTGTGTCAGCTCCTCCTCTTGGAGCTCAGGCTACCTGGCCAGGGTCCTCCAAGCCCACCTTTGTGTGGACACAGGACCTTCCTCAGGGGGTTCAGAGTCTAATGGCAAAGATGTGACAAGTGCATCAGCAACTAGCATACAAAGAAGTGGTAAGTGCTATAAAGGTGAACTTGACAGGGAGCTTTGGGAATCCCAAGGAGGACAGGCTCCTGCTGGCATGGCCAGGGCCCCAGCAAGGGCTTGCGTCGCTTTACACTGCTTGTTCCTGGCCAGAGCTCCGCTGGGCAGCAGAGCTGCTTTTTGTAAGCACAGGCCACCCAATACCGCCCACTCATACACGTGCCTTCTTGCGCCTGCTGCTGCAGCGAGGGTCACTGGCTACAGGGGCTCTGTCTATCCCCTGGGGCTGGGGGCTTGGTTGCCAGCCATGTATCTGTATGGCTTGGTGGTGGTGATTTGTTTGGTTGGGCCTGGTGGGCATCAGATATGTGGTGACCCGAATGCAACATGGAGAGAATAGCTACAGAAGCCCCCTGAATGTGTAGTAACCTGGATTATGGGTATGTTGGGGGGAGCCCCATGGATGCCATTGGGTCCTTTGACTCTTGAGCCCGACATCCTCCCATGAAGGAGCAAAGGCCATCGTGCCCACCGGCTGGGTTGTGACTTGCTGAGGCTCCTAAGGAGACAGTGTGGGGATGAGTACCAGGGCTGAGTTTCTTCCCATCTTCCTCCAGGCCCCCAGAACTCTCCTGGGTGTGAGCTTCTGATTTGGCTCCCACATCTATTGAAATGATCACTGCACAAGCAGAGCAGTATGTCTCCCACCAGCACTCAGTCCTTCAGGAGACATGAGCTCTCCCTCCTTGCGTATGATCCTAATTTTGAAGAAGCCCCGTTTTTCTTTCTTTTGTGAGTCCGAGTATCTCCAGAGCTGAGGATCTCACCGCTTTCGTTTCCACACAGTGTGACCCATGTAGAGGAGGAATTTTAGACTTTTGTTTCCTGTGCCGATCTCAAATTTTCCTCCCTGTGCTTCTGGTTCTACTTTTGTCCTTGGACATTTCCTGGGATGAGGCGGGAGGTTCTTAGAGAGGATGCACCGGAGCGGAGACTAGTAGGTGAGAAAGGTGTGCAGGAGTCCACGTCCTGGACTCTTGTCTTCGCTCTGGCTCCCTGAGCTGCTCACCCTGTCTAGGTCCCAAATATCTCCAAGGACCTTGGGAGGAGCAGCTGATTGAGGGAAGCTCATGCAGGTCCCTGCTTGCCATGCTTAAGTGGAGAGGACAGCACTACATGCCCCAAAAGCCGTGATCTGTTGTTGGTAGTGGGGTGACAGGCCAAGAAGCCCCCATCAGATGTGCAGTGGAGGTCCTCCCCCAGGGCCTGTATCCCTGGACTGATAAGTGCTCTCTGGTTCCTCCACAGGAGCTGATCGACCTCAAGATGCTTCAGTGCAAGAGAGTTGTCAATGGTGAGTGCCACTGTGGCCCTAGGGTTGCGTTTGTGCCCAGGCAGAACTGAGCCGTGCTATCACTACCTTTGTCCGTGGTGACAGGGTCCTCCCAGGGTTCTCCTTGCATGGCTCTGTAATTTTGTGGATCCTGTGTTCCTTTGACAATAGCTGCTGCTCTCCAGAGACCCTGACAAGAGCCAGGTATGAAATAGACTAAGAACGCCTTGTGCCCACAGGCTTGCTGGCGTAGAAGTTGCCAGGTTTCATAGTTACAGGAGGGACCCTAGAAGCTTTGGGTTGGGATGGCATTGGCACTGGTTCTGGCTCTGCCACTCGCTAGCTGTGTGATCATGGTCAAGTCACATGACCTCTCTGCCTCAATTTCTTTAGCTGTAAAATGAAAATCATAATCCCTGCTTTACTTAAATCATAGGGTTGGAGTCAAAGAAGATAAGGTACATGTCAGTACTTTGCAGATGAAAGTGGTTGGTACTGAATTGTGATTTTATTTATATTTAATTAATGAGGCTGAGTCTGCTTTGATTACGGCTGTGGTGTTGTTTGAGGTTTTTGAAATGGATATACATTTGTCAGATCTTAATGTAAGTTCACTAGAAGTTGTGACTCAATTTTGTCTTTAATTTAATGTTTTAGATTTATATTTTCTTTGTGTTACAAAAAATTCAATGTGACAGACCTTTGCCAGCCAGAAAATGAAAATCCCCCATAATCTCATACTTGAAGAGGCGATCATAAAGAGGAATAATGTACTGGTAGATAGATTTTTACACATTCAGTAAAGCATGTATGTAAACATAAATGTGTTTGTATATCTCCCTTCCTGCCCCCTTGGTATCAGGCTACATGTGTTTTGCCAGTTACTTTTCTACTAGGACATTTTTCCATGTCGCTACTTACAGATGACTGTCAGGATTGATTTCACCCGTGCTTTAACAGGGACGTTGGTGTTTTGCTGTTACAAATAAATAGAGCTCTAATGTAAACACACTGAGCTTTTATTCTCCTCTCAGACTTCCTGCTGCCAGTCACGCGCCGGCTCTGCTGCGGCAGATTGCTCTGTTCTGCTCTCCCTGCATGTCACTGCCTCCGGTCCACCCTTTTGATCTTCTAATCAGGGCTGGGATGATAACCACAGCTTCTATTTATGGAAGTGCTTTCACACCAAATGAGTGAATACTGAACCACTGCTCTAGGAGAAATACAGGCATATGTCATTTTACTGCACTTTGCATACTGTGTTTTTCACTGTTTGAAGGTTTGTGGCAACTCCGCGTTGAGCAAGCCAATTGGCACTGTTTTTCCAATGGGCTCAGGTGATGGTTAATTTATTTGTTTTTTAAATATTTTTAAATTAAGGTATCTACATTTTTTAGATATAATGCTATGGAATAGTAAGTAGACTACAATATGAACGTAACTTTCTCATGCACTGGGGAACCAAAACATTTGCGTGACTGGCCTTAATTGCGACATTTACTGTCTTGTGGTGGTCTGGAACTGAGCCCGCAGTATCTCTGAGGTCTGCCTGTCCAGGTGTGCGTCCCCGCAGACCTCTGGTCAGATGTCATTAACAGATCAATGTGTGATCTTGTTCTATGTGTGCTTCTGCTTAAAGACATGCAATTTAATATATTCTGTTGATTCATTAACATAGAACTCACAGCCAACAGCTCTGTGTATAATTTTGCATCTGCACAGAGTGTGTTGGACACGTGGGTTTTCTCCATAAGGCACATCGCAGCCTTCTTGTGCACAGGAGCACTGGGTGGGGCTTCCGTGTGCGTGGGGCCACTTAAAACAATGAGATTACCTACAAACAGGCAAAGATGCGGCACTAAATGTCCCATCAAAAAGACACTTGTTTACAGTGTGAGAGCTAAAGCAAGGAGACAGAGTGTTGCCTTGTTTGACTCTGGCTGCGAACCTGTACATTAGGTGACCGGAATTTTCTGTAATTCTCTGCGTGTCTGAGAATGACGATGTAAGTGTTGTGAGTATGGATTACAAATAAATTTTAGCGAGCAGGCAAATCTGCAGATACACAATGTCAAGCTGTAAGAATCGCCTGGAGTATAGTAAATCTCTGCTCACAGTGTCAGGCACCTGACAGGTCGTTAAGAAACAGCAACTCTGCTGAACTTCAGAGTGACATCTGGGAAAACTGGGTCGAAATCTGAAGCTCAGACACAGTGCTCTATCTGCACATTTTTAAAAAATGTTTTAAAATTGCAAAACGAAGCCCTGGCCGGGTGACTCTTAGTTGGAGCGTCATCTCACACACCGAAAGTTGTGGGTTTGATCCCTGGTCAGGGCACACACCTGGGTTGCAGGTTCTATCCCTGGTCGGGGCACGTACGGGAGACAACCAGTCAGTGCTTCTCTCTCACTTTGATGTTTCTCTCTCTCCCTTCCTCTGTCTCTAAAAACCAGTAAACATATCCTCAGGTGAGGATGAATAATAAATAGGGAAATAAATAAATAAAATCGCAAACTCCAATAGCCACACGGAGAAATTACGTAAAACACAAGCATACAGTTTAACAGATAACTGTGAAACAACCGTGTAACTGGCCGCCACCAGGTCAGGAGATAGAACCTCGTCAGCCCCTCAGGTGTCTCCCGTGTGCACACTGATTTCTTTTAAGAATGGTGTACTTCCAGCATCCTTTTTCTTCCTTTAAGCTGATGCTTTTGCTCTGTTTTCTTGCAGGGATCATTCCAAGTGAGCTTCCTTACTAAGCGGCTGTGCCTGTGTGTTTGTGTTTTCTTGCAGAGGTGCTCAGCACGGTGGACTTTGTAGCCCCCGATGACCGAGTCGTCTTCCGCACCTGCAGAAGGGAGCAGAGCAGGCTCGTCTTCCAGATGGTAGGACGGCCCGGCCCCGCCCGCTGCCCAGATTTGCTGTCACATGCCCTGACCTGGGCCGGTTTACTGCATGGGAATGCAGTGGAATGCCTGGGCTTCAGTGCACAGCGGCAGTTTCCTGAAGTTTTCAAGTTCAGGACATTTTTCAAAGATCTGCTCATGAGTGATTACACTGTTGGAGAGAGTTTATGGAAATCAAGCTATAGTAGTCTGTTAAATGTCTCTCATCTCAAATTTAATTTTCTTAATTATAGGAATTGTCTGTTTGGCATAACTTACACGTTGTTAATCCCTAGCATTAGTTATTCAGGGTAAGGTCTTCGTTTTTTTGTAGTCTGTGTATATCTCCCACATAAAGAAATCAGGTTTGCTCAAGAGTAGTTAGTATTTATGTCAGGGTTATAATGACTCTGTAGCTCTCTCCTCTCACTTTGGGCATTTTCTGGTGCTTTTCAGAATAGCTCCTGAATTAGATTTTTAAAAATCGACAACAATGGGTAGATATATGATAAAACAAATGCCAAAATGTCAATTACAGATTCTAAGTGGTGGGTATATGATTGTTTACTGTAAGAATTTTTCAGTGTTTTTGCATGTTTGAAAGTAATCATAGCATTGATGGCATTTTGACATTTTCTTGGCCCTCCCATCCACTTCTGGCCTTTGACGGAGGGCTAGTCTAGTGGACGGGATGTTGAGGAGACACCAGCTGGACTCCACTTGCTGATGTGTGTGCGCATGGCATGCATGGGTGTGTTTGCCTGTGCGTGTGTGTGTGTACGTGTGTCAGGGTGGTGGTTGATGCAGCCTTTTGTGTTCCCAGGGGACTTCGGACGCAGAGCGAGCCCTCGCCGTGGCCAGACTTGTGTAAGTTCTTCCCTCTTCGGAACTACCTTTGCCGCTCCTGTTGGCTCTGGGGCCTCACTGTTCCTCGTGATGTTGCAGGTGACCGCCCTTCTGCCTTCTAGTTCAGTACCTTCTGTTTCCTTTCTGGTTTCCTTCTCCGCGGTGTCCAAGGCTGCTCTGGGCCTCTCGTGTACCCCCTATGCCCAGATCCCAGATAATCTCTGTGTGGGTGCCTCTTTTTTTTTAATGTTTATTCATGAGGTTCCCTTTCCAGGACTCTTGTGACCACGAGCCCTGAGGTTTTGAATCTCATGAAGTGTAGGTTAGACTTATTGCTTCCTAAATTAACGAAGGCGGAGAGTGTTGTGGTTACGGAGTTAGATGAACCTGGGTTGTAATTTTGTCTGTGGCTTTGCTACTTGTTAACTGTGTGACCTTCGGTAACCTTGCTGAGAACTTAAGTTTCCTCATCTACGGAGTGAGACCAATAGTATTGCCTGCCTCTGTCATTATAGGGAAAAGTAAATGAAATAATGCACGTAAATGTCTTTGCAGTGTGTGGCACATAGTGAGTGCTCAGTAAGTAGTCACTATTGTTATCAGTTACAGTGAGGCTGAGAGGGTATTCACACAGTAGTTGCTGCTGAATCACAGCCTGTGAACTGCATATGTTCCAAAAGGTGAGGTCAGGGTCCTTTCTGCATCTGAGAACTGTCTGGAGTAAGCCAACTGTGTGACCCAGCCAGTAAAGGCAGTCTTGTACCTCCCACCAGAACTGGTGCTCTGGGCCCAGGGTCTCGTGCTCATGTCACTTTTCTGCATGGACGAATGGCCTGCACTGCCCCAGTCAGAACCGGAACTCTGGGATCGCGTTCAGTGTGACTTCACTCAGGATTTGAGCTATCTGATAGAATTCCAAAGTAGCAAAGTCCTCGACAACTAGCTCTGTACATGTGCAAGCACCTTATTCCATGCCTCTTGAGCTTTGCTCTGGGGAGGCAGTTGTGCATTTTAGAGTAGGTTTTTTTCAGCTTCTGACACTGAGGGTTGGTGTGTTTCGCACCAGGGACGCGGTGAGGGATTCAGGAGCACTGGCCCATGCCTTTGACTCCACCTTCCCTCCTCACATTGAATGTTTACTGCCACCTTTCCCACTTCGTGTCGTTCCAGAGAAAATGACGTGGCTGGAATTGATGTCAACATGGGCTGTCCGAAAGACTATTCCACCAAGGTAAACTGCGCCTTTTATGCCCCCCAGAGACAGGTGCGGATTAAAGAGGATGGGTGAGACATGATGACTGAGTACAGTGTCTGACTCCTGTTACTGTGTGGGAAAAGGCTCAAGCGGATATTATTGGATCAGTGGGCAAAATTGGGAGTGTGGACCACGGTAGATTAGCTAAAAATACTGGATCAGTGTAAACCGATAAAGTTAACAGCTCTTCAGTTTTGTAAGAATATCCCTATTCTTAGAAAATACACACTAAAATATATTGGGGTCAGGGGCTATGATATATGTAACTTTCCCCTCAGATGGTTGAGGGAAAAGCTTGTATACACATGCATATACATATATACATAAACATACCCACAGAGCATTGTGCCCATTTGTTTTAAATGATGTAAATGGTAGAAGAAAAAGTAATGTGAACAGGGTTTTGTCTTTTCATGAATAACACCAAGACGTAACATCTTTTTAGGAATAGAGGATGTGGCCCTGGCCAGTGTGGCTCAGTGGTGGGAGCTTTGTCCTGTAACTGAAGGGCTGCGGGTTCGATTCCTGGGCAGGGCACATACCTGGATTGTGGGTTTGCTCCCCAGTCTGGGTGTGTATGGGAGGCACCCAATCAGTGCTTCTCTCTTGCAACGATATTTTACTTTCTTCCTCTCTCAATTCCTCTGTCTCTAAAAGGAATGGAAAAAAGAAGTCTTTGGGTGAGGACTAAAAAAAAAATTAAATAAATAAAAATGTTGCGAAATATGTCCCCATTTTCGTATCAAAAGCTCAGACTAGAGTACTAGCATAGCTCAGAAAGGAGCTGAGAGGCAGCACTTAAACTTGGGATTTCACAGAGAAATGCGGTCCTCGACGAGGAGGTTTGGGACCCTGCAGGCAGGAGGAGTGCAGTGCAGAGCTTAGGTGCCAACATGAAGTGGAGGCAGAGAACCTCGATTTGAGCAGAGGGTTGGAGAGAGGGAGACGACGAGGAAACAGAGGGATGCAGGGTTGAAAATCTTGGTTGGGACCACAGTAGCTGGATCTGGATCTTCGGTATCTCTGGCCTTTTGTGAACCAACAGAAAGGCGGGTGATCAGAAACTTAGTTTCTTTCCCCAGGGGAACCAGTGTTACTAGTTTCTTGTGTATCTTTCCAAATGCATCCTGTGAGTAGAAATGCTCATCTGGGAGCCATGTGTCTTGTGGACTGAAGTGGAAAGAGGCTAGAGGTGGGGGCATAGACATAGGAGGTGAGTGTTGTGGGTCCACAGGAAAGACTAGGGGGATAGAGAGAGGAGAGCCCAGCTGGAGTAGCATTTGACAGGACTTGGCTGGCAAATGATTGGACTGGGCGTGGGGGTGCGGGGTGAGTGTTGTGGGTAGAGAGAGGAGAGACTGGCAGCCAGGAGGGCGGTGAGTCTTCCATGTCAGTAGGACCGGCAGAGGAAAAGCACGTTTGGAGCAGATGACAAGCACAGCTTGGGGCTGGGTGTGTGAGAGACACCAGAGGGACTTCTGTGTGGCTGCCCCTGGGAACCTTATTGTAGGGTGTGTGGTGTAGGCCTAGCAGGTGCCCCCCCAGGCCCACTGCCCAAAGTCAGCCACTTTGTTTTCAGCAGTTACGTGGCCTGGGGACCTTTCCTTTAAGCCAGGAGCCTGAAGACCACCTGAGGAAAAGGCTCTTGGGGCTCTCGAAACCCAGAAGACCTGTAGGCAGCTGCTTCAAGGAATTGTGGAGATTTGAAATCGTCTGTGGGAAGCTGCAAATTTTAGACTCTGTTGGCTGTTTTCAAATTACCTCTTTGTGTTTGTGATTATGTAAGGAGCAAAACTGAAATTATTGGAATAATCTCCCTGAGTTCATGGAGTGAAGAAAAACAAAGGACAGAATTGTATGTGGTGTATTACCATTTATGTGTGGGGGATGGGAAATGAATATTCATATACATTTACTTTTCATAGAACATATTTGGAAAGACACACAAGAAACTAGTAACACTGGTTTCCCCTAGGGAAGGAAACTAAGTTTTTATGTGGTTTTGCACGGGAATTAAATTCCCTCTGCCAGGGTGCTACTCAGAATAATTAACCCCTTAGCTCAGCACTGGCGCCGACCGGCCAGAACAGCTCAGCGGTGTGCCATGCCAGTGCGCACCGCCTGAGTGTTAGTGCTCTTCCGGTGGCTCAGAAATCGGAGCCATGTAAAAAGTATAAATTGAAAAGTTTTCTGTTCCTCAAGGGAGGGAGAGTTCGTGCTTTTTACCCTTTTGAATCTTAAAACATTTTTCATGTGTTACCTATTCAAAAAAGCAAATAAGTAAGTTAAATAGAAGGAAGGAAGGAAATACCATTGAGAAAGCCATTGTTGTGGAAGGGGCAGTGAGACTGTATTTTATTTTTTTAATAAAGGTAATTTATTTATTTTTTTTAGAGAGGGGAGGGAGCAGGAAAGGGAGAGAAACATCGCTGCTTGAGAGAGACATTGATTGGTTGCCTCTCGCACTCCTCCAGCCGGGCATTTGGCCTGAACCCCAGGCATGTGCCCTGACAGGGAATCGAACTGGGAGCCTTTTGGTCTGCAGACTGGTGCTCAGTCCACTGAGCCACACCAGCCAGGGCAAGGCTGCATTATAGAGCCCATGATTCCACAGGGAAGGGCTGAACTGTGTATGAGCTGAAGGCCAGATGGGTCTGGGGTGGCCAGGGTTTCCTTAACGCCTCTCAGCAGGTTTGTATCCGTGACCAGGGCTAGTCCCCTTCTGCCCTTCCCGATTTCCTCTGACATGCAGACTCAGGCTGGCTGAGTCCGTCAGTGTTCTCTCCGATTCTAATCTGTCATCCTTTAAAACATGTAATCACTGAACTTAAACCGTCTGAGCACAGACTGTGAGCATTTGTTAGTATGTGCTCTATATGTGCTGACAGCATCTATTTATTGGATTTGTTTTTCTCCCCTTCACCTTGCTCTTAATGGGTTCAGATTTTTAACACCTGCCCCCATGCCATTATTAAAATGTCATGCCATTGTCCAGAACTTGGGTAGTTTGAAAGTACAAAAAAGAGCGGGAAAATTACCAATAATCTCACCATCAAGAGACGCCCTCTGTTGTTAAAGTCAAGATTCATGTGGCTCCGTGGGCTGTTGGTGTCCCTTAGCTGGGGCTTTGTTGGTGTTTGCCATTGGTCTGGGTGCTCAGGGTTGGGCTCTTGTAGCTGGCAGAGAAGGGGCTGGAGAGAGTCTGCAGGTTGCACGCCCCTGAGTGGCTTTGCTGACGGTGTCGGCACCAAAGCAAGTGATAGTAGGATAGAAAGAAGGTGCATTTGCTTTCATTTCAAAGGAAGAGTGTTTCATTATTTTTTTAAGGGCTTGGCAGATTGGTTTAGTTTATTAAGGCACTGATACCCTGGGTAGGGAATGGGCAGTCCTGAAACATTATTTTTGTAGAACCTGCTTCTAGCTAGATCTGTGGCCTTTGCTAAGTCATCACTGTTAGAATTCATCAGACTCTGATCCCTGTTTTTGTGGGTAGGGTGCTGCCACTTTCCTACTCGCTTAGGAGACCTACCGATTGCCAGTGGACCTTGGTCCCTTGGAGACAGGTGCTGGGGTGCTGGTGTGTTGCCACATCATGTTGCCATATCATGGGGAGGGGCTGTCCCCGTCCAGCTGTAAGAAGCCCCTCTGTGCTTTTCCTTAGGGGGGAATGGGAGCCGCTCTGCTGTCTGATCCCGACAAGATTGAGAAGGTAAGTCCTGCATGAGTGAAAGCAGAGGTCCTGAAACATGGCACACTTGCCACTCCCCTCTCCCAGATTTAGTGAATCAGGCACTCCACCTGGGGTCTGGGAGATTTGTGAAAGTCTTCTCAGTGGTTTGGACATGCAGCCAAGTTCAGTAACCCCTGAGCCAGCCTACAGTTGACTTGGAGTTCCTTAAAAGCCCAGGGCTGGTGACATGTTAACTGAGAGCTGGGGTGGGGAGGAGTGGGAGGGCTAGACTCATTTAGAGCCTCCTCTGTATTGCCTGTCTCCCTTCTGAGAAGATCACTAGAGTGCAGGACCTGCGACCTGTAGGTGTGGACAGGCTCCGTGGGTGTGGACAGGCTCCGTGGCTGTGGGGGTGGGTTGGGGAGGATTGGCCCCTCCCCGGGGCTTGATGAGCACCGCAGTGGGTCCCTGAGTGCTGCTGTACTCCACCACCAGCCTTTGAGAGCAGGCCAGGTCAGGGTCATACGAGGCAAGTTGAATTTAGTCTCCTCTAACCCTGTCCTTCAATGATTCTGGTGGCCAGGTTTATGAGGCTCCGGGGACAGGTTGCCATTTGCCACCCAGTATTGTGAGCTGTCAGGGCATGTGGGGATGTCATTTTCTGCTGCACTACAGACACCTTTTACTTTCCTCTCTCATTCCACCAGCTCTCTTCTTAGCTCCTTGGACTTCCTTTTCATTCTCTAGCCCCCCTTCCCTGCTGGGTGTTAAGTCTCCTAGTGCCTCCCACAGGCTACATTCAGTGACTTGGGATAAAGCACCACCGGTAAAAGCTGCCACTGTTTGTGCTGGCTGCTGTGTCGGCAGGTCGTCCTGTGCGTTCTTCTAGCCCCACTGTCTCTGGGATATAGGAAGGCCAGCGTGTTTATGAGCTAGGTGCCTTTTCATTTTTCCCACGTGCAGGTAGGTACATATAATGTGTTTGTAATGTGCCTATAATGTATCCTTAGAGTTTGCAGAGTACTCTTTCCAAAGGATATTCCAGCATTTATTCCATTTGTTCTCCAAATCCCTTGAAGTAGACAGCAAAGGCATGCGTTATTTTCATTTGATCAAGAATAATAAAACTAAAGCACAGAGAGGGAAAAATAATTTGCTCAAGATCATGTAGCGAAAAAGCAGGCAGAACTGAGGCTAAAGCCATGGTCTTCTGACCTCTCCCCTAGCATCAGTGACCCCTCGCGATGGCATATCAGGGTAAAAGGTGTCGGATGTAGTTTATACGTGTCTAGCCCTAAGTGTAGACTCCTGGACTTAGGAACCTCCAGTTGGACACCTCTCTGCGGGATGGAGTGGTTGTGAATGACTGGATGTCAAATGTATTACCGTACTTAGGCGAGGGGGCCCGTTGGGGGTCTTTTCTTTCCATCATTGCACACGGGCATTTCTATTATGCTCTGGCCTCCTGGCTTCTCCTGTTCACGCTGTTGGCTCTGTCCTCTCACGGTCCCTCTTCAGGTGCATTTCACGTGTGAGGCTCAGTTCATTCTCCTCCTCTGTTTGGTGGGATGGATGGGTGGGTGGGGTTTGCCTCATGGAAGGGAGCTTCCACAGTAAAGCCAAAGGGGACCTGGGAATAGTGGGCTGGAGTAGGTCCGGGCTCAGGCTGTGCTGGTGCACTGGGAGGCTGGGGTGAGAGCTTTGTGCGTCCCCACAGGCTTGATGTTTTAGGCCTGTGGTTTCATCTGTGGGAACATCTCAGGGGCACCGGCAGAAGTTTTTTCAAAATAAGGATGCTTGGTTGGAGCGATGAAAATTTTTAGAAATAGGATAGAGGCAGGGAGAGGATATCAGTCTTTTGACAAAGCTTCCTAGGTGTCTCTGATTACCCTCCCTGGATTAAGAATCTCAGTTTTAGACTCTAATTCGGTAATGTCCTCTCTCTCACCCTTGCCCAGGATTGCCCGGGCCCCCTGCTGCCCAGGGCATCCCCCTTGTGCACGCTGCACTTGGGCTGTGACTCACAACTGACAGGGCCAGGACTTGGACTCTCACTGATTCCAAGCCTAAGCTTTCCCATCCTCCTCCCCAGCCTGTTCCCAACAACTAAGAGAGCTTTTCCTGAGTTACTCTGTGACCTGGTGAGATGAGCCTGCTTGCCAGTAGATGTGCTGTAATCTGCTCAGGCAGGGGTCTGTTGCAGGTCCTTCTCCCCACGGATGTGCACATCCCAGAGGTGTGGTATCACTTGGATCGAGGAGAGTTGGGTCCAGGACAGTTTCATGCTACAGCCTGGCCAGAAGACAGTCGCTAGTGCCCTTTCCTCTCAGTGTGACCCTTGCAAGGGGCTAGGGCTTTTAGGGCTTGCTAATCTCCTTCCTGGTCTTGAACATGCGTATGAAATAAACAGAAATACTAAAGAAGATGCTTAGAGCTACTTAGATAAGACACCAAAAGGAAGCTCTGCAAAACAGAGGACTGGATCAAACCAGCCAATGATACTTATGTCACTGAACACCAGAGGGTTCTAAGGCAGCACTTGCAAAGGAACCTCTCAGAGACAGTGCTGTCCGATCGAGGGAAACAACTGGAGTGAGAACTTGTGTTGTGTATCTCAGAGGGTCTGGCAGTTCCCCCTTAAAGGACAGGTGCTCCTTGAAGGTCTGCCAGAGAGACCCTAGGACCTTAGGCCCAGTCTGCCCCCTGGCAGTTGTGCCTGGGCCAGTGGGCCTTGTCTCACCCATTATCTGTCCTCCAGCCTGTCAGCTCAGCCTCTTAGTCTGATGTCTCCTGAGGGGCCTGCCTCATTTTGTCGCTGCCCAAAGGGCCTCCACTGCCACAAGCCTGGCTCTCTGCTGCCCTCACCTGTCTGGAACCAAGACTGGCAGCAGCTGTCTGTATGTCCCCTCTGCTCTGCTTGCCAGCGACCCAGTTCTTGAAAGAGGGCTCTTGGGATCACCTTCCATCCAGCTTGGCAGGCCTGAAGTTCCTGATGAGGGGAGAAGGCCGCAGTGCCTCGGACTTGCAGTGTCTCCCACATCTCTCTTGACCTCTGACCCTTAGGAGGTCTGGTCTTGCTCCCTCCCTGACACTTTCCTGTATGGCTTTCTTGATCTGTCTTTGAAGTTCTTTGCAATTACCATGCCAAGCAAACACTTTTTACTCTGTTGACTATGTTGTCTTTTCCTTTGCCCATTTCATTCCTGTACATCTGACTCCCCTAAAGACGGGGGTCCGTGAAGACAGGGCCCAAGGTCTGGAAAGCCTCGTGCCCCCTCACTCCGCAGACCCCGGAACGGCACTAAGGGAGCATTGCCTTCAGGCAGGAGAGAAGCTGTGAGCCGTGTGCCCTCTACCGGGCGAGGCCGCAGGATCATGCTGAGGAGGGCGTGTGTTGGGCAGAGCCTTTACAAATTCCTAAGCCCTGCTTGTAGAGACCCATTTGGGAAATATGAGGTGGGATCTAAGACTCTGTATTTCTTAGGCTGTCAGATGTTGGCCCTGGCAAAGGATCACTGTATTTTACACAGGCATGCATGCAGATCCTCACTCATTCATTCATTTACCAACTATATGTACACCACTGTGTGCCAGGCAAGGGGCTAGCATAGAAAAAAGTTGCACTCCTTCCTTCATGGAGCTTACATGTATATGCGTGCAACAGGTATGCATGTGGACACATCATGGACACAGACATGTCCATGCCACTGGGACACACGGGTCTGTAGCAGGAGTCCTTCGTACAGGTCATTGTGGGGTTTGCTCCAGAAGAGGCAGGTGCTCTTGTGTTCTCTCTGCAGATCCTCAGCACTCTTGTTAAAGGGACACACAGACCTGTGACCTGCAAAATTCGCATCCTACCGTCGGTAAGGATGGGGTGTTACATTGAAGGTCCATTTTCTCTGGGGATGTCTATTTGGGGTGTCAGTAATTTTTGAGGTGTTGCGTTAGGTTTGGAGGAGGGGGCAGAGCTGAGCCCACTTGAGGACAGCTGACAGCTGCTCTCTCTTTGGCTTCTGTAACCGCCCTGCGCGGGTCTCTTCCTCAGCTGGAAGACACCCTGAGCCTTGTGAAGCGGATAGAGAGCACTGGCATCGCCGCCATCGCAGTTCACGGGAGGTGAGTGGTTGCTTTTCTAGTGACTGACTCGCAGCGAGGTCCTCTGCCACCCTAACGGTCCTTCAGCAGACCTCAGGGGTCAGCTAAGTTCTCTTCGACACATGCCCCCGCCTCTGCCTAGCTCTTTGACATCCCGGGGGCGGTTAAACTCTTACCAGCTTGCATTTTCCTGTGTTTCAGTCACTGAGCATCTACTGGTGGTAGATGCCGCACTGAGCTTTAGAGACAGGGAGACCAAGGAGGAAAGAGAAATGCCCCTAACCTCAGGAAGTGTAAACGGTAGAGATGGAATGATTTGCTCAAAATTGCATCATGCAGCCAGGAAGTGGTGGAATTAGAACTCTGACTCTGAGTCTCCTTTTCTTTCCACTACGTTGAGCAAGAGCTTCTGCCCTGAATGACCCCAGGCAGACTGCTGTTCATCTGCGGGCACTGCCTCTTCGGTCTGCCCCTGTAGGATTGCCAGCTGACACTGCGACTGCTTTAAACAGTCCTTGTGTCCGTAGCTTACCACACTCTGCTGAGAGCTGAGGTGTTGCCGGAGGCTCCCCTGGGTTTCCCAGTCAGACTTGCCCTGTGTCCAGGCTGTGCTTTTGTACAGAATCCCAGGTCAGTGGACTTTGGCCAGAGTGACCTCTCTTCTCTAAGTGATACTCTTTTGGGTTCAGGGGTCTTGTAGGAACAGCACATCTTTTGCTGATTGTGTCTATTACAGCATTTTCAGAAAAGGGAACCCAGAAGTCCAACATGTAAAAGAGAAAAGCATAGCTGTACTGGTGGAAGCTGGCAGGGGGACGTGAAAGGCCACACCCATTACAAACCCTGAGGCCACAGGCCCTGGGCTCAGACTGCCTGGTTTCAAATCCCAGCTCTGCTGCTTGTTGGCTCAGTATCCTTGGACAAATCATTTAACCTCTCTGTGCACCACATTCCTCATTTGGAAATTAAGGTAATTTCTGCTTTACAAGGTTCCTTTCCACCAGTAGTTGAAACACTAGGAAGTCAAATTTCAGTGACTTTAAGGAGAGACTTCTGACCATTAAAGTTTTTGAGGATGGCTAGAACTGGCTGCTGGGGTGTGGGGAGGTGAAGGTGGAGGCTGGGTTGGCTGAGCCTTCTGAGGCCCGTGGCCTTTTGTTGAGGGGCGTGACAGGGGGGACACACCAAGACAAAACCTGGGTGAGGACTATGTGGTCACCCACCTCTCTTGTTCCTGAGTGCGGCTCAGGTCAGGGCTCACCTCAGCACCCCTAAGGCTCAGTCTCATTCACAAGAACTTACAGTTGACCTGGGAGGGAGGGTCCCTGGGTCATGGTGCTGCCTCCCCAGTGGCTCCTTGTGGCAGCCATGGTCTGCGGCCTGCCCTGGCTGCTGGGTCTACCTGTGCCAGGTTCCTACCCCCAGGGTCAGCTGCCCATCTTGGCCTTAGAATAGGCAGCTGTGTGGGAGTGGCCAGCCTGAGGGGCAGCAGCTGTTTCTAGTCCCATGGGGAGGGCAAAGCCGGGACAGTAGAGGTAGCATTCTTATGGCACTGTTCTTCATCTCTGGCAGAGGTGAGGGGAAGTCGTGGGGAGGTGGCGTGACCTTGGAAATCATCTCCCCACCTCCACCCTCTGCAGCCATGACTCACCTGTAGGCCTCCAAGAGCTGAACTTGCCTTCTCAGCATGGATCTCTGTGCTGTCTCGGACCCTCCCAGCAGAGGTCATGGAGAGCCATCCACTGCAGCCTAGACCCCTGTCTCTGATGGCCACGTGACCTTCCTGAGATTCAGCAGGGAGGACCTTAGGGCTTGGTTATAACATAACCCTGTGTGAACTGTGACATGGCCTTGGGCACTCAGCCCTCAGCCCCATCCTTTTTGTTTATCTCCAAGGAAGCGGGAGGAGCGACCTCAACACCCTGTCAGCTGTGAAACCATCAAAGCCATTGCCGAAACCCTCTCCATTCCCGTCATAGCCAAGTAAGCCTCCCCTCCCCATCATTTACTTCCTCACGCCTCACCTCTCTCAGAAGGGATTTAAGCTGGCATATGAAAAGGGAAGGAGATGGCATTAAAAATTGACCTTAAGGAAAAAGAAAAATGGTGGGGTGAAAAATGAAGTCGGTAATGAGGCAGACGCAAGTGCTTGCCATGTTCCTTGGCCTCTGGTGAGTGGCTGATGGAGGTGTGTCGCAGGCAGGGGCCCAGGGCACTCTGATGGGTGGGCTGAGGGCAGGAGGGTTCAGGGAACAGGGAGCAAGAGCGTGGCTGCTGAAGCAGGCCCAGGGGAAGGTGAGGTCGCATTGGAGTTAGGTGTGCAGGGTGTAGGGTGAGGAGGCCCAAGCCAGAGCACGTAGAGCAAAAGTAGGTTTCCAGTTGTGAGAACATAAAACAGAGTTTATCCTTGTATTATTTATTAATTGTTGTGTAATTTTCCATATGAATAATTATAAACCTACTTTTGCCTAACTCTGTATTGCTCAGGAATCATAAGGCTGGTCACAGTCCAAAGCCCAGCCCGCACAGCTACAGGGCCTGGAACCTAGACTGGCAGGTGTGAGGTACCAGTGACCAGCCCAGAAGCTTAATAGCCAGACAGTGTCCAGTTGCTTCTGGGGAGCTGCAGGATGGCACAGAACCGATGGCAGGATGGGAACACAGAAGTTCCAAAGCCCCGAAGCCCTGACAAAAGGCACACCTGGCTGGTGGGAGGGAGGGAGAGAGCCGACGGTGGGGGTTGGCAGCCAGGCCCGGGCTTCCCCAGGCCAAGGAGTTTTAGGGAGAGGGTCGGGCTCCTCCAGACACTGGGCCCTCTTACTGCTGCTCCCACCTGAGTGTGTGTGTACATGTCCCCCACAATGCTGCCTTTGGACTGAGGCTGCTGCCTGGCTCCTAATGGAACAGATGAAGACAGAGCAATTTACAAGGGGGCCCTTGGGGCTGCATGGCGGCGGGAAGGGAAATTGCAACCAAACCGGGCCTCCTTCCTTCCTCTCACAGTCGCCACCGCATCTGCTCCCTCTCTAGGGTTGTGACCCAGCCCTTAGTGGTCATATAGTGGGGTGGGGGTGGGGTTTCCTATAATCCCTTTAGCCACTGTTTAGAATGAAATGGCAGGAATGTAAAATCTCAGGGATACTTATTAAGTGCCAGGCATGGTTCTAGCTGCTTTCCTATATTATCTCCCTTGTCACTCCTAAACCCTCAGTGGGGTGTGTGTGAGAATCTCCAAGCTCCAGAAGTGCTTCCAGCTGAAGGACCTAGCCATAGCCACACAGCTAATGGGAGGCAGACCTGGGAGTTGCCTGGTTCTGAAAATGCTGGGGCAAGGATGGGGACACCCCTCATCCCTGTTGCCTTTCAGTGGAGGATCTCACGACCATATCAAAGATCACTGGGACATCGAGGACTTTCGACGAGCTACAGCAGCCTCTTCAGTGATGGTGGCCCGAGCTGCCATGTGGAACCCGTCCATCTTCCTCAAGGAGGGTCTGCGGCCCCTGGAGGAGGTCATGCAGAAGTACATCCAATACGTATGTCTGTGCGCTTTTTTGAAATAAGCATTGCTCCCTGTCTGCCACATTCCCGCAGAAAGTGCTTTGGGTGAGCCCCAGCCACCAGCTGCCAGCAGCCCTCGTTGTCCCTCTCCTTTTCTTTTCAATTCTGGTCACGCAGCTTTGGGTCTCCCAGGGGGTTGGGGAGGCATGCCGCCCATCACCTCCTTCTAGAGCTTCTCAGATGTGGGGTCATAGCAGGGACCTCTGGAACCAGGATGCTTTTGGGGCCCCAAACACATGATCTCTCTCTTTTTCAACTGCCACACATACACATGCATGCACAATGACAATGGAGTCTGTGTCACTGAAGACACCCATGCCAATGCATTGGTGCCAGAGCAGCCACAGCCAAGAGGAACCATTGTAGCTGTTGTTGTTGAGGAGAGATTATCTCCATGGAGACTTCTCACCTTGTCATCAGTCAGAATCACTAAAGACTCTTCTCTTGCTAATTCCCAGAATGCTTAACCCCTAACTTAGGGCATAGCTGAATGCTAACCCTCTACCTAGGGAAGAGCTTTTTCTTCTCAGTGGGAGCTTGATGGTAGTACATTTTCCTGTAAAGGAGTTTGTTTTTTGACAAGGTAACTTGCCCTGTCCCTTTTGCACAACCCTGGAACTCCGTGGGACTTTGTGATTAGCTGTGCATGTCTACAGGTGGAGATAGTGAATGGTCCTCAGATTCTTCAATGAGTAGGGCCTGAGCCTTCACTGAGAGCAGACTTCTACCCTCCTCTTCAATCCTGGGGCTCACAACCACCTGGGAGGGTCAGGGGCATCTCAGACCCTCAGACTGCCTCTATCCTCTTCAAGCCGTGGCCATGCCCGGGCAGTTGTGGCTGTGGAAGCTGGGGACGGTAGGAGGCCTTGAGGCCTGTGTCCAGAGCTAGGCAGCCTCCGTCCTGGAGTCTGCTTTGCTTGATGCTGCAGCTCTCATTCTCTTGGTCCTGGGTGTCCTGTTGGGCATGTTGGTGACCACCAGCTTCTCCAGTGGCCTGGGTCAGCAGAGGCAAAGGGGGCTTGCTTCAGCCCAGGTTGGCTGTCTAGCTCTTCTGGCCAGCTGGCAAGTCTGTGGCGGAGAAGACATATCCCATTGTGCTGAGCTTGCTCACTGGGTGAAAGGTGCTGTTATCATTCCTGCTCAGCCTGACCCTTGGCAGATCCTCCAGAGTGTTGTCCTGGAGAAAGGGACCGGCTTTCAAACACAGGCAGGACTTTTTCGGGTCCAGCCAGCTGTTTTCTGACCCAAATAAGCTGAATGAAGGCCTTACTGCTGGCTGGGCTTACCTGCATATCCCTGCTTTGTCCTGAGCGTGCTGTGGCACCTTCCCAGGCACTGAAGATGTAGGCCTAGTGTTGACGTTAGATAAGTGTAGGGGGCAGGGGTTAGAAGGGGTTCTGGAGGGCTGGGGCACCCTTCGAGCATACTCCCTGGCCTACCCTAGCCAGGCAGACTTCTCCTAGGTACCCTGGACGGTCAGTTATCTTGCCTCCCTAAGCCTGTCCTTACCAGTTTGTGAAGTAATGGTAACAGCTGCACCTCTCGCTTGTATTGCTCAGGGAGGTAACAACACATGTGAGCACGCTCTGTAGATGGTGCTCTACTTTATCCATGTAGGGGAAATTGGAGACAGGTCAGTTCAGATGTGGGAAGGGAGAGTACCTGTGTGGTTACAAGGAATAGAAGAATCTCACCCTGTCCTGAGGCTGGTCCTGCCACACCAGAATTTGTCTTGTTTTCCTCCCCTAGAAGATGCTTGGCAGCAGGTCCTTTCCGGTTAGCTGTGGTGGTGGAAGCAGGAAGGGCTCCCTGCATGTTCGGACTTCAGACAGGGTGTCCAGTAGGGTGTGCTCCTGGTTGTGGGCTTTGGATGTGACCCTTGAGCTTTGTACCACTAACTGGAGGATCAGATGGCCCGGATGCAGGTGGCTCTTCTTATGGGGTCCCACTGTCTCAGCTGCAAGCACACCGCTGGTGCCCCCTGGGCTCCCCTTTCCCTGCATCAGAGCAAAGCCCAGGCCTCAGAACCTGCCTGGGCAGCAGGTGGGCTCAGGTGGGTTCTCCTTCCAGGCTGTGCAGTATGACAACCACTACACCAACACCAAGTACTGCTTGTGTCAGATGCTACGAGAACAGCTGGAGTCACCCCAGGGAAAGCTGCTCCACGCTGCCCAGTCTTCCCGGGAGATTTGGTGAGAGGGGCCATGGGCTATCCACCTGTCCTGGCAGACATTGCCCCGTTTTGACTCTGAGCCCTAGCTGACTCTACCAGGGGACGGAGGACATAGCTTCTGGAGATGGATGTGCAGTAGTGGGGTCATCTATAGCTTTGCCTGACAGAAGGGGATACTTTCAGAGCTTTGGAACTTTCTGTCTCTGGACTGATCTCAGAGTCTCGGGAGCTGAGGCACTAGTAGGATGGAGGAATGCCAGGCCTGGGCTTGGGAATTCCTGGGGAGGAAGGGGCTTCCCCAGTCGCAGATCATGCCACCAAGACCCAACTGTCAGGAGAGTGGGGGTTGCGGAATAGGGCCCCCAGCCTGCGCCTGTGCCCACACCCATCGCTCTGCAGTCGGAGAGGCCACCCCTAGCTCCTCTGCTCAGGTGGTTGACATTTGGGGCCCCTCACAACTAGCCTAGTGCCTGCTCCCACAGCTCCGTATTTACTCTTGTTCCCACTTGCACAGCTGTGCTCGTGCTGAGTCTTCTGCCCGAACGGTCTCTCCCCATCATGTGGGCTGTGTATATCTTCTCTCCTCCAAAGGGGCCTTTCTGAATCACTCTCACCCCCAGTCATCCATCTTTGTGAGTGTCCTCCAGCCCTCAGGATGCTTCCGAGAACAGAAAAGCCTTGCCCAAACCCTCCTTGTCCTGGGCTTGTGGTGTTGGTTCTGTCCCTATGCCACCTAGCTTAACCGGCTTGACCCGAGTGTCTGGTGAGCTCAAGAGTATAATTTTCAAGAATATAACTGTGTAGCTCTGGGTGGTACCTCGGTTTAGGTGAGGCCTAACTGCTTGTGGCTGGGACAGGAAGTGGGGAACCACTCAGTGGTCAGGCCGCCGTCTCTTCCTCCCACGGGCCCACATGAGGATGAGGCTATGCATGCCTCCCGTACTTGATCAGCGTAGGTCAGCTTACTCATTGCTGGCTGGGGACAGCTGCCTGTATGCTCTTCCTTGGAAGAAAGGCTGGGCTCAGATGGTGGAAATGACCTTTAGAACCTCTTCCACCCTGCCCTGCCTGCCTTACAGTGTTTGCCCTCAGGGGCCCACAGTCACTGTCCATCTGCCAGTCCAGACTGATCCCAAGGGTGAGCAGAAGGTACCTTCTGATGGCCAGGTCCTAGCGGCATTTCGGTGTGTACGGATGGCCATTTCTCAGTGGTGTGGCCCTGGGCTCCTGCAGTAGTTCCCTCATTGCTGGTTCCACTAAGGGGCTTGTCCCACTCGGCTTGTCTTTCCATAGTGAGGCTTTTGGCCTTGGTACCTTCTATGAAGAGACCACACAAGAACTGGACTCCCGGCGGGCTGAGCTCTTGGCCAAGACCCCAGAGGAGGTGATGGAGCCAGCGGAAGACCCCTCTGGTGTCATTAAGATGGCTGTCAAGTTTGACCGGTAGGTCTCCAGGTGCCTCAGCTTGGGCCAGGGCCAGGGCCAGGGCCCTTGGGCTGACTGGGCTGGCAAGCTGTCTGCTGTACTTGTTAGGGACAAGCTTGGGGACCACAGGTGTCTTTGGTTTAGGCACTTGTTCTCAATTTCCAGCAACCCAGGAAAGGCACTTTGGAGAAGATAGCTCTGAAAGCCCAGGCAGCGCTGTTAAGGTTGCACGTGTTGTCCCAGGGGACGGAACTCCACCTTTTCCCTGCCCCACCCCCTCCCACAGCTTGGGTGAGAGGACTTGTCTCCTTCTGTTCCTGGAAGTCTGTGCTTTTTCCCCAGCCCAGAGGAACTAGGGGCCTACGAGGAGCTCCCCAACAGCAGCAGGACCCTGGCCCTTATCTGGCTGTGCAGTTCCTGCCCACACCCACTGCCCCTTACTGGCTCTGTGGTGTCCCCTCTCGGCAGGAATACCTCAAGCTGGTTATTGCCTCAGACTGTAACTCAGCTTTGACTGGGTCCCTCATCCTTGTCCTCTGCAATCTGGGATCTAAGCCTTTCTCAGGTCCCCAAGCCCAGACCAGGGGCCCGTCTTGTCTGGTAGGGGCTTGGGAGGAGGGGTGCAGGATCAGCCACTGGGCAGTCATACTCAAGGAGAACTCCTGGTAGGAAGTTGGGACATGGTACAGACTAACTCTGAAACCAGAGTCCACTCTGTATAAACAGTGGATCATCTTGACACTCTGTAGACATTAGGGTGGGTACTAAGCTAGATACCTGAGCCCTTTGTATGGCCACCTGTGTTCCCTACCCCTACCCACTCTCTTCGGATCTTGTCTCGAGGGGCAAACTGGACCTTCCTCCTTGGCTGTCAAAGGCTGTTTTCCAGGCTGGAGCTCAGAGTGCTGGGAGTTCACTTCCCACCCAAGTTCCCCAAGCATACTGAAGCCCATTGTCCCTTTGGGCTGAAGCAGCCCCAAGCTGTGGTGGGACAGAAGTGGGACGTCAGGAAATAGGTACAGGAGTCTTAAGGCAGCAGCTTGATGTCTCAGTCCCACCAGGAACTGAGTAGGGCCCCTGCTGAGAAATAGAGTGATGATGGGTGGGCCCTGACTCCTTCCCCTCCTTTCCCCAGGAGAGCATACTCTCCCCAGATCACCCCGAAGACCTGCCTGTTGGAGTGGTGCCGGAGGGAGAAGTTGGCGCAACCTGTGTATGAAACGGTGAGCTCCTGGCCGTGGCCTGCCCGGCATCCAGCCCTGTAGCGTTCCCACAGCTGGTGCCAATGCCCCCAGCACACCTACAGCTTGTACCCTGGACTCCAGGCTGTTTGGCTGGAGCCTGGCTTTGCCCTCTGTCAGCACACAGTGGTACTGGTGGTTGAACCAGTTGCTGATAGAGCCTTCCCTTTGATAGTGGGCCTGTTGTTAATTCTGTCCACATTTCATAAAATTGAACTAGAGTCCTAAGTAAGGGGTTACTTGGGCCAGTCCCTGCCAGTGGTGTTGCTTAGGGAGGGGAGACGTCTCTGGTGAGGGCCAAGTGATTTAGGAAGGCTGCCCAAACCTGGAAGTTAGACAGACATGTTTTTGGACCAGGCCGCAGCTAATGGGGCATAGAATTGGGCCCACACACGGGGCCCCTCAGTCAAAACTGAGACAGTATTGGTTTACTAAACGATGTCTTGTTTAGGTGGCTCTGTCTCTGGACTTCTGACCTCCCAGCTTGTATCTTCTGGGCCTTGTGTCCTCTTCTGCCAAAGTGACATTTCTAAAGTGAATCTGAACTCTTATTTCCCTTGCTCAAGTCCTCCTCAGCTCAGAGCATGAGACACCCGCCCCCGCCCCCGCCCCCAGCGCCTTTCTGCTTCAGGACTCGGGCGCCCAGCCCTCTGTCCTGCCGTATCACCTGGTCTCTCTGCCAGATGGGTCTTCTTTGCCCCAGTTCTTGTCCCTTCTCACCCCGTTGCCATCTGGTGAACTTATTTTGGGGACATGGCCCATCCAGATATCAGCAGGAGGAGACTCCATAGGTACAGCTAAGGGCTCTGATGGCCCTGTGCTCAGGTCCATGACAGAACTCCTGACTTGCTGCAGTGTCATTGTCTTTGTGTATCCACCTTTCTCCCCTGGAAGATGCACCAGCCACTTCTTTCTGCTGGGGAGGAACATGTAGAACAGGTAGCTGTCATTGACTTGGATGGGAAGGACTTCCTTTTCTCTGCCTTCCACATGACCCCGGCAGGTGGGCCTCCAGGTTTGTTCTTCCCCTCCTGCAGCCATCCCCACTTCTTTTGCTCTCTCCGTACCAGGTTCAACGCCCCCTAGATCGGCTCTTCTGCTCTGTTGTCACTGTTGCTGAGCAAAAGTACCAGTCCACCTTGTGGTGAGTTTCTTCATCCATGGGCGTGAGGCTTGGAGTGGAGGGCCTGATCCAAGCATTGGCCAGGGAGGGTTGGGGGAATGGTGTCCCTGGGTAGTGGCATCCCTGGGTGATGACCCCTTCCTCAGTGTTGTCAGAATCTTTGACAAGGGTGTCGAGAGTCAGGTCTCCTAGCCTCTAGTCCTGTTACCATTGTGTCTGCCTACCTGCCTTATTGCCCCATGCCTCATCTGCCCAGGGACAAGTCTAAGAAACTGGCGGAACAGGCTGCAGCCATCGTCTGTCTACGGAGCCAGGGCCTCCCTGAGGGTCGGCTGGGTGAGGAGAGCTCCTCCTTGCACAAGCGTAAGCGAGAGGCACCTGACCAAGACCCTGAGGGCTCCAGAGCTCAGGACCCAGCAAAGCCTGGGGATCTGTGCAAGAAGCCCTTTGTAACCTTGGGAAGTACTAAAGAGAGTCCTCTGGAAGGCTGGTGACCACTGTCTGTTCCCTGGTCACCACCGCCTGACTGCGGGTCTGGCCCTGAGATGACTGTGGGTACAGAGCATAAACCAGATGCTGTTGGACAGTTTGCTGCCCCTGCCTGACAGGTGTCAAGAAGTTCTGGCCTGGCCCATCAGCCTGGAGCATGGGCCAAGGGGTGCCCAGAGTGCCCGTCTCTCTTGGTTGGTTTTAGTAGCAGGGCCAAGTTCCCAGTGACCTCCGTATTTTCTTTGAAAACAGGAGCTTTTTCAGTGGCACCTCCCTCATCTGACATTGGTGCAGTGCAATAAAGACACCCTCTACTCTCACCCACGACTGGCTGCTTCAGCCTTGGGCTTCTTCACATACGGACTGGTGGATGACCTGGCATAATTATTCTACTCCTACCCTTTGTGAAGATCTGGAGCTTCCTAAAAAGCCTATCTCCTCCCTATCCTTACAAGTCTGGGTGGAGGTGGGAGGCAGGATATCACCTTTAGTGCTCGATGGACTTGAGCAGAGCCAGGAAGGCCCAAGAAGCCCATTCTCCTGAGGACAAACCTGAGGCAATGGCCAGCGGTTGGCCTTCCTGATGAGAGACCATATGGAATCTGGGGGAACGACTGGGGTGTCTGGACCTACTTGGGCAAGCTGGGAGTGCTGGGTGAGCCCAGCTGTCTGGAGCCCACACCTACTAAGTGCCTGCTCTGGGCAGAAGACTGGAGACTGCTGATGACAACAATTTGGGGCCCTTGCGATTGCCTGCCCACACCACCTCCCACCCCCACCATCCGGTTTGAGCCGGAAGTGGCAGATTCTCTTTAATTTCCTCCTGGCAGTGAGAAGCAAACAAACGGGCTACCACAACTCAGCTTGTGGGGCCACCCCCGCTTACTGGGAGGGGCATTCTGACCAAAGGTCCCTGCGCTTCCTCAGCTGTAAACATGCTGCTTCTCCTCCCCTTTTCCAAGCTCTGTGGGAAGAGGGTAATCCCCTCTGGGCCAAGGCCGTGCTCCTCTCGCATGACCCCAAGGTCAGGCCCCTGCACCAGCCAGCAGCCCCTGGCCCTTCCAGCCTGACTCAAGTGTTGAGCTGGTGAGGCCTCTGTCTCAGTCCCGGACCGCTTCATTGCTCTTCTGTGTGCAGATAAGGATGCCGCACCAACAGTGGCCTTCCAGAGTCCATGGCTGTCTGATCTTTGGCAGGTCAGTTCTAGTCCCCTCTGGGGCCAAGGGCCCTCCTCTGAGAGTGGGATCAGCTGTTCTCTGCCTGCTTGAGGTCGGCTGGAGGATAAACAGGCTAGTCCTGTGATGGGACACTGCCATGCTGAGCCTGCTCTCACTGCCTGGACGTGTGCTCTCAGAAAAGGGACCCCAACCAGGAGAGCGAATGAGGCTTCATCTGGTTTCAGCCATCAAGGCACAATTTAGGCACAATTTACTTCTGATTTTTCCTACAAAAAACTGTTGTAGTCAAAATGCCCCCTTTGCCATTCCTTATACCCCAATAGGAACAGAGCAGATAGCAGGGCCCCTGTGGATGCCCCCCAGGCATCCTGAGCCAGTCCGAGCTTATAGGAGGGCCCTTGTGGGCTAGGTACCCAGTCTTAAGATCTACTTCCCCAGCAGGGTTGGGCTTTGTCCTCCAGTCTCTTTGCCCACTATTGTGGTTTCCTGGGGAAACCTCTTTGGCAGTGTCAGATTCCTTTCTAGACTATGGAGAAGGAGAGGCAGGGGTAGAGGTCATTTGCTAAGATAGAGGATGGACTGTGGGGGACCTGGAGGGCCCAGGAGAAGTATTGAGGGGAGGGTCATTCACGGGAGCAGGTAGGTAGGGGCTAGTGTGTGTTCCATGAGTAAGGATGCCTGACAAAGGTCCCAGTTGAATATGTTGGCTCACAAATGGTTTCACTTCAGTACACCTCAGTGATGCCCGCCTTGGTCTCAGAGTGACCTACCTAAGACCTGGTGCTAACTGGAGGGCCCAGTCAGGTCTGAAAGCTCCATCCACTGTTCTCATCTTGTCCACCTTAAACTAAGGCTTCTTAGACACCCAAACCCATCTCTGGACTAGTGGCCACAACACTTATCCATCCATTCCAACTTTCTCAATTGAGGACTTCCTCTTAACTCATCACATTTTGAGGACAAATGGTTTTAATATGAATATGAGAGGGAGGGATGGGTAAGGCTAGAGAGGGTGGCAGGTCTTCTAAAGACCACAGCAAGAAGATTGGACTTTGTGCAGATGAATGGAGAGCCTCTTACCCTTGTAGTCCTGCACTCTTAGTTCCTTCTAGGTGTCACTATTGCTCAGAACTCTTCCATGGCTCTCCACTGCCCTCTGGATCAAGTCCAAACTCCTTAGCCTAGCATTTGAGGACAAATGAAGTAGCCTGTGCTGACTTCAGCAACTGATTGTCTTGGATTGTAGACTGGAGCTGCTCAAGGGCAGTCCTTGTGTCCCCTGTGGCCAGCCTTGTCATGGGGGTGGGGAGCAGGCACAGAAGTATCAAACGAGAGCTTGAGGGGAAGGGACGTGCGGCATGGAGAGGAAGTCTTCTAAACTTTGACTTTCCTCCAAGGCTCCTGTTTCTTCTAATGTGGAACAAAGCTGGTTGTACTGGGCTAAACTGTATCATCCCATGGTTCAGAGGCCATAAGGAGAGCCTTCAACAATGGGGGCTCAGAGCTAGGCCTGGGGCAGCTGATGAAATAGATGGCTTTCCCTAAATCTCAGGCCTGACTGGTATTCACACAGGATCATGATGGGGCATCCAGGGACCTGCACAGCTGGCCCAGTCTAGGGTTCTATCTATTGTACTGGTCCCCTGAGCTTCCAGGTTTCCCAGGACTCTGAGAAGGCTGGAGGTGAGTCATATGGCCTCCAGCCATCTAAAAGAGCTTTGGAGCTGGCCTGAGAAAGAGCTCATGGGGGAAGTCCCACCCTAATTGAGGAAAAGGGGTGGAGTCAGTTTTCCTATTGGCCCGTGTATATGGCGTTGGGGTCCTATCACAACCTGTAGAGCTTCCAGTCATTGCTGCCTTATAAAAATGACATTCTTCCTAAAGTTGGTTCCCACCACTAGCCCACCCTCATCACTCCATGGTAGGTAGGAGTCTCAGTTTCTTCCAGACCAGAGATCTTCCCCAAGACCTGAGCCCTTGTAAGTTTTTTTTTTTTTAAGAATTTATTTATTTTTTTAGAGAGAGGGGAAGGGAAGGAGAAAGAGAGGGAGAGAAACATCAGTGTATGGTTGCCCCTTGCATACCCCCAATTGGGGACCTCGCCTGCAACCCACGCACATGCCCTGACTGGGAATTGAACCAGCGACCGTTTGGTTCACAGGCCCATGCTCAATCCACTGAGCTATGCCAGCCAGGGCCCTTTGTAAGTTTTTACAGTGGCTGAGAACACAGCTACATCACCCAGCATTTCAAGTCATCTACAGCTTCTGTGGTCCCTTCCTAGCAGCGGGACTGACAGGCCCTGTCTCCCTTTTGCCTTTTCCCTGGCCTTACTGGCTGAGTCCCTGGTTCAGGTAAAGTCATGTCCAGAGGGCAGAGAGGTTGGATAAAGGTACATCGGTAACCTGAGAGGTGTGTATGGGGGCAGGGGCACACATCTTGACATTGCATTATTTTATGGGGAGGGGAAGGTAAGTTGGACAACCTTCTGGGGTCTTTTACTCTACTGGGGTCATGGTACATGTGGTACTAATTGGCAGGCCAGCCATCTGCTGGGGCAGAAGCCTGCAAAGTTAGCGTGACTTTCGGTCACTAAGTTCTACACTCAGTCCTTCAAGGTTGGAGATCCTTTGAAAGCAGCACAGTTTATTGGGAGGATGTTACATCCACTTAATACCATTTGCTCCCTCTCCCTGACCACTGTTATTCTTTCCTACCTCTAACCCCCACGGCTCCCAGTTCAATCTGGTGTGATTCAGATTTCTGAATATGGAAGTACCGTGCACTAAACCCTTCTGTCTCCCTACTGCCCTCAGGATAAAGTCCGTATATCTTGCAGTGTGACTTGCAGTTGATTCATCTGGCCTAACCTTTGATTTCCCACTGCTGTTACTTTTGGTCTCCAAGTCCTTGGAAATCTGTTCTGTCTGGAACCATCTCCCTCAACTTTTGTCCATCTCTCCAATTGGTAATTAGCCCTGTGGAGGATTTGTAGCCAGCGGGATTATGAACCTCTGAACACATGGCACAACCCTAATCTCTGCACGTAGATTTGCTGGCCTCTCCCCCACCTCTAAAGGGAGACTAATTTATTTCTGCGTTCCCACTGGGTTCCCCGCAACGTGCTTTGTAAGGATGCTACTTGATGCTACGTCCCGTGGGACCCGGAGCTAGGGGAGTTGGTCACCTCCATCTCTCCCAGCTTCCCGTCCAACCTGCACCTTGGAGCAGCTGTAAGTAAGTAAACAAGCCTGGCTCGTGTTCCCCTGGCACGGCCTCTATCATGGGCCCCAGGAGGAGGCTGTCTTGGGTAGTCTCAGAAGACAGGCCTGCTGGGGGGGTTGAGGAGTGAAAACGGTTCCTTAGTGCCAACTCCCTACTAACAGCCACTCGGTTTGGGTAACACGATCCTGCCCGCTTTCATTTGTACTTGGGTGCATATGTCATGACGGGCTTTTCAACCTCCAGCAGGGACAGGCTGTACCCCTCAGGCTTTGCCGAGGCCTCGAATGAGCGGCCTGTTCTCGAGGGAGCAGCTGCTAGGCCGGCGCGTGGGGACAGACAAAGGCTCAGCCAACTTTGTGCCGTACCCGCGCCGTTGGAGTAGGTCTACGAGACTCGTAGTGCAGCCCGAGTCTCTGGCTCCGCCCCACCCTAGGTCTGGTCCCCGCCTTCTCGAGACCCCGCCATCAGGCTTGGGATCGGGGATGAGGGTTTGAAGCTCACGTAGAGCTCACGTAGCCGTCCGCGGCCCTGACACCTTTAACAAACCCAGTCAAGCAGAGTAATACCGCACAGACCCGTAAGCTCAGGGTTCTGGCACTTCTTCCTGGACGTGCGCTACGACCCAGTAAGGAAAGGGATTTTTCCCAATTGTCCGGTGATGGGCTCCTCAACCCACTTAGAGATAGCAACTTTACACCCGGGTGCGCGGGCCTGGTTTAGAAGTTGAGAAAGGAGTAGAGGCCAAACTACAACTCCCAAGAGGTAGCGGGCTCTCCAGCACTCCGTATTCACATGACTTCCTTCTCCAGCGACGCCGTCACGCGGTAGGCCGGTGAGCGGGCGGGGCCGTCGGGTTTAGCCGCGGCGCCAGCGGCCTATCGGAGGCCCGGGGAGACGGGCGCGCGGTAGGGGGCGGGGTCGGGCGCGCGGCACAGCGCGGGAGCGCGCCGGTGGCGGCGGTGACTGTGGCGGAGCGGGGAATGTCGGCTGCGGCGACAGTGGCGGCTTAGGCACCAGAGACTGGCGGCGGTGGCAGCTCCTGGTGCGGTTCGGCGCGAGGCCAGCTCTAGAGTTCGGAACGGAACGCTCGGCGTCGCGGTCGTGCCCGGAAAGTTTGTTCCGGAGCCGCTACCTTTCGGCCGGCTCGGCCCGGCATGAAGCGGCGCTGAGGAGCTGTCGCTGCTGTAGTCGCCCCCTGAGGAGGAACCGTAGTACCTTGGGCCACGCCGATGACTACTGCAAACTGTGGCGCCCACGACGAGCTCGACTTCAAACTCGTCTTTGGCGAGGACGGGGCGCCGGCACCGCCGCCCCCGGGCTCGCGGCCTGCAGGTGGGTGCCGGGCCCGGCGGGACCGGGCAGCGTCTGCTCCTTTTCTCGCTCGCCCTCTCCCTGGTCCTTTTGGTCGTCCGGTGTCTGGTAACACCGTGTGTGCGTGCGTGTGGCGAGTGAAGAGCGGATTTACACCGCTGAGCGGGCGGGTGGGTCGCTGCGGTGTGGTAGTGGCCGCGGGCTTAGCGGGAAGCGAAGTAGTGGGAAACTCGACTCCGGGACGCCTGTGGCCAGTGGACTCCCGGGGTTTGGGCCGAGGGTCGGGGCCACTGACCGAGCGACGTCTGGTTGTCTCTGCTTTGCCAGCGTGGTGCGGAGAAAATGTCTCTCTGTGAAGTGTAAGCGCACTTGGTTTTTCATCTATTCTTAGTCTTTTAAAATCTTTATTTGAAAGATGCACATTCTTGAAGTGTAGGAGCGCTCTGAAATTCGTGCACGCATCTATGAAGTCTGCTTTGCCGGGAGACGAATGCTGTCGTTTTAAGTTCCACTTGTGTAAGTTTATGGCCCACTTTTAATTCGAAGTGTAACATAACGGGACTTTCTGAAAACTAGGCTTCTTTTCTTGAGCAAAGTGTTCCAGAAGATTAGAAGAAAGTGAGATGCCCTGTTCATAATTATAGAAAGTTCTGGAAAACAGTTTTTATTTTAAGAAAAAGCTCACCTCGGAAGATGTTTTAAAGGAGATCGTGAGTTGGGAAGGCTGGGCACCGGAATACATGGAGGTCAGACCAATCAGGAAATAGAAACAGGGTGGCTGGGGACTTAGAGGTCTCCTGTGACCTGGTTTGAAATACTGTGGTTCAGTAAGTTCACTTTCCCTATTACCCATGTAGGCGAACTTCAAAAGGGAGATGGATAAGACTAATCCCTAATTATTCTTTCCGGGTATTAGGTGAATTATTTCATGTCCATATTGATGTTCAACAGACTGTTCTGTAGAGTTGCATTGAAAAACGTAACTGAGCGTGAGGCATAAGGATTCTCTGGGCCCTGTTTATCAGTCGTTTTAGTCTTTTTACATTACATGTTTTTTACAACATAATAATTTGCAGTGTTATTTGTTGGCTGTGTTTGTTTCAATTCCACATCAATGGAGCAACTGTTATGTCGAAGGTACTGTTAGGAACTCTGTAGTGTTGCGCTAGATGCAAAAAGGACTGAGGACCCTCGAGGAGATTGGGAAATGGGGTCGGGGGGGGGGGGGTCGGGGGGGCACGTGACCCAAATAACTATGCTGCTAGGCAGACTGAATAGAGAGGTTCAAAGGGGAAAGTTGCATTTGTGAAGAATGTGGCATTGAATTGTTCTTAGGTTATGGGGATTTAACGAAATAAAAACAACTAGTTTGAATATTTTTATTATAAACATGAGCAGTTGATGTCAGCAAACTTACTGGGCACGAGCTTGATCAGAGCACATTCTATACCAAATATATATGATCAATGAAGACGTTAACCAAACATGTGAGTAATAAAAGGAGTATCATCATGTAAATAGGAATTGTATGTACATCCAAATATTGAGAAACATTTAAAACCCGTGAAAACAGCTTTTTAAGAAATGACTGATTTTTTTGGTCAAACTCAGAAAACCATTTTGATATTAATATGGATCTAGAAGGAGTTAAGGTTTGAAACTTGATTTATATCTGAAACCCTCAAAGTTAAACTTGAGCAGTTTTATTTGTGACATAAAAAGTTCATTTAAAAGTATGCTAGCAGCTGTTTTTTTTTAAGTTTTTAAAATTAAAATCAGTTAAAATTATATCGTGAAATACACATGATATAAACCATTTTAAAGGGAATGATTCATTGGCATTTCATGCATTCCCAATGTTGTGTAATCACTACTTCTATCTAATTCCAAAATATTTTCATCACTTCAAAAGGAAACCCTGAACCCATTAAGCAGTTGCTCCTCATTCTCCCTGGCCCCCTTCCAGTCCTTGGAAGCCCAGTCCTTAATCTGGGATCTGTCTCTGTGGATTTACCTGTTCTGGTTATTTCATGTAAATGGAATCATAGGTACGTGACCTTTTGTTGCTGGCTCTTTTCACCTAGCATAGTGAAAAACCATAGCATGGTTTTTATAGTTCAACCATGTTGTAGATTGATTCCTTTTGTGACTGAATAATTTTCTATTGTATATATTTCCCAATTTGTTTCCATTGATGGTAAGTAGTGCTGCTGTGAATACCTGGCAGCTAATTTTTAAATTCTCTTGATAAGGATATGTTATATATTCAGAACTAAGGTTTCAAAATTATTGGTTTACAAAATTAGTTTTCATAAGCATGATTATGTGTGTCATTTGAAGAAACTAAGTGGGTTGACTGACATGCTCTTAAGATGATAATAGGCAGTAAAGAGGGCCATGAGAATAAAATTGCTTGGTAGAATTCAGGTCAGTATCAGGTTGTACCAGCGTTTTCACTTGTTTTTTGGATTCTCTTCCTCATTAGAATGGAAGTTCCATGAGGGCAGAAGTAGTGTCTATACCTTGTTCATAGTTGTTCGTTATCAGTGCCTAGCATAGTGCCTTAAACCCACTAGGCACCCGGTGTTTGTTGACTTAATGAGTAAGCACTGCTGAAGTTTTGAGTCAGTGCTCACTTTCTGTGGGAGAGGAAGTTGAGACTTGTTTCAGTTCTTTGGCTTTTATTGGTCAGATCCATAAGATAGCAGATCTTGGTAATTTTGGGCTACAGGTTTTCCATCTCTAAAGATTTTAGAGTACTTGCATCACATCTAATTTCATGCAGGAGATTTTTGAAAAATATTTGGGAAGGCAGGTACAGGATGAAGACTGAGGACTAACCAAGGGCCCAATTTAGTAAATGTCCTAAGCAAGCTTGTTAAAGTAGAAATTAAATGATCTGATGATTTGATACTTGATAATGTCAGATACATTTGTGACTGACTTTTTAAGAAATTTGCTTATAGAGGTGTTTTGAGATTTTTCCATTAAAGAAAATTTAAGATCCTAGAGTCTTTAGCTTTTATTTGTTTTATACTATGAGGACAGTGCTAGTTTTGAATTTTACAGTTAAAAAGGAATCAAACTATTTTGTTTAAACTTTCTTTTACTTAATGCCTAGCTTCAAAATAAAGGTGTATCTCAATAGTAGAGAATTTAAAATTGACAAGTGTTTAATGTACGTAGTTTGTTAACATTACTTGCCATTATAAAGGGCAGCTTTTCCTACTCTAGTGTACTGATTGTGTATCTCTAATTTAGTTTGATGTTATAATCTTTACTTTTCATATTCAAAGTTTCATTTTCAGGGTTTGTTTGTTACTAAATATTGACTTTCTACCTGAATAAGGGTCACTGGGAGGAGTTTGTGTTACACTGTGTATAGTATCTTCTGCCACTTTTTTTTTTTAACATATGGCATTTGACTTTTTTTTAGATTTTATTTATTTATTATTAGAGAGGGAAGGAAGGGAGAAAGAGAGAGAGAGAGAAGCATCAATGTGCAGTTGCTGGGGGCTGTGGCCTGCATCCCAGGCATGTGCCCTGACTGGGAATCGAACCTGTGACACTTTGGTTCGCAGCCCATGCTCAATCCACTGAGCTACGCCAGCCAGGGCTTTCTGCCACTTTTTAAAAAGGGAGAAATATATTTTGTCAGATACCACTTGAATACTCAACTTTTTTGTATGTAAAGTTGAGTTTTTCCTAGATCACAGTCTAGTCTTTAATCTGTAGTGTTTTTTACTTTGTTTAGTGCTTGGAGACCTGATTCATGTGTTCTTTGTAATTTATTGTATCTTAGAAGTTTTCTCATTTTTCAGTTTTTATTGACCATTTTTACTCAATATTTTTATTTTACCTTGTGTCAAGTGAGATAATGTACATGCAAAGGAAGTTTACAGTTAGGAGAATGTGGATCACAGTTTATTATTATAATTTATTTATTAACTATTATATTATTTTCCATATGAACAACAGTAAATCTACTCTTGCCACACTCTGTATTGAAATCTCTTGGCACAGTCCTTGGTCCAGTGGTGCTCATTAGAAGTGGTAGTTAACAAAACTTTAAACTGTTCTTTAAAAACAGACACAAAACTGGTGGTAGCTTATTTTTAACCTCCTCCTCTTTTCTAGATCCTTTTACCTATACTAAACTAAAACACTGGAGATCCAGCCATTTAAATCTTACTTAGATGAGTCGGAATATGCCTTAGACATTTTTATTTTATTCTCTTAATTCTATTATTTTCAATTTACATCCTTCCTTATATCTTAGTAAATATAATTACTGAAGTTCATTCGCTTTTAATTATGTTTTTCTGCTTTGTTGAATGAAGTTGTTACTCAGTATGGTGTAAAGATGGTTGATTTGCAAACCATACGAAGTATAATTGGATATTTAAATCAGTATAAAAAAGGGAACTTGCGTGTATGGTTTCCTGTAGAAATTTAATGGTGTGTTTGTACAGTGCAGTAGGTACTGTGCAGGAGGATTTGGTTACTGCTGAGCCTTTTATACCATAGGTCAGCTTTATCTTTAGACTTGAATGCAGTGAGAATATGTATTAGGTGATTGAGTCAATGATAAACATCTCACTATTTAACTTGGAAGAATTATTCAATATTATGTTTCTTTGACGCTTTTTTTTCATAGGGGCAGAGGGTGCCCCTGGGAGTATTAGCAGAATTTTGTGGTGGAGATTAGTGAATAAATACATTTTAGTAAGTATGGTGAAAAATTAAGGAAAAAGTTCTGTCATATTGTTTTGTTAAAACTTCATTATCGTAAGAGCATTGTTATGTCTGTGTTTTCTTAGATTTTCCCACTTGTTGATACAGAAGGAATATTTTGGCATGTATTCTAAACTGTTTGCAAAGGCAATACTGGAGTAGTTTTATTAGATAATATTAGAGTTAAAACTTGGGTATTTATATACGTGACCAAGAAATTGGGGGAGGGGTCCTAGTAAGGCTTGTATCTTAAGCATTTGAGATATTAATTTTGGGTAAGTTATAGA